ATAGTTAATGCAAATCATGTTCTTGGCAGTCATTGACCTTTGCCTTCAATTCCCACCCTTGCTCTGGAACAAATGGCTCCACCAGCTCAATATTCTGGAAAAAGGCTCACCTTTGTCTCCTTTCTCTCCCTTGTGCCCTCGAGGGCCGGGTGGGCCAGGTCTTCCTGGCGGTCCTGCAGCTCCCCTGTCACCTAGCCGATGGACAGTAAAGTGACTAAATCACGCACAATTGTGAGAGCTGCACAAAGTGCTGGAGGAGCGGGCCCGGTACTCAGCTTAGCCCTGGGAGCGAGGTAAAACACTGGGGCCATTTCCCTACCATCGCTTACCTTTGGGACCAGGGTGGCCCACCTCTCCCTTCTGCCCAGGGGGTCCTGGAATAGTGCCATAAGCTACAGAGGGTAGAGAAAGGCTGGGTTTAGACTTTCTAGATGCAGCGCGTCCTGAAATTTGGGCAGTAAAGTAATAAGGGTGACCAGTGGCAGTTTGGAATACAATGTTTAGACTTTATCAGAGTTGAGAATTCACCAGATTTTCATTCTCCCAGGTGTTCTAAGAGGTTCGTGTCTACGGAGTTGGCCTCACTTGAGATGAGGCAGTGAGCTGGGTGTTAGGAAAGCCACCGGGGTGCCCTTACTTCGGAAGAAGTCCATGAGGTCTGATGTCACGTTGCTGTAGGCAGAGAAGACCTTGCTGATGCCAGGGGGTCCCTGGGGGCCAGGCCGGCCTGGTGGGCCCTGCACAGTGTAGGCCATTCCTTGCAGCAGGCCTTGACCTGTGAAGGACAAGAGAGTGGGGCGCAGGAAGCAGGACTGGAGCCCCTTAGGGTCCATCAGCACCCTTTTCACAGAGTGGTGCGGCGCCCCCTGGTGGTCTCCAAATCACTCATGCTAAACCACATGCCTCTAGAAACTCTAGGAACTTAGAAAAATGACGATAGTTACAGAAAGGGTTCAGGCCTTTATTCATAGGGTGTTTATGAGTCATGCTCGACTCAGTGACAGTCAACAACAACAGGTTAAACCACAGCAGGGTGAAGCTCTGCCCACAAGCTTTCATTGTTGTTCCCTGTGTCTGACACAGGCTCCTGCCTGCAGCCTGTAGTGGACGCTCACCCAGGGGCTTTGGGCTTGAATAACTGTGCATCTGATAAGCAGCAGGGAGAAAGGACTTCTTGGCCAACAGCTTTCCTCAGCTGCATCAGAAAACCTTCTTCTGAGAATCTGAACTTAACGAGAAGGAGCTAACCTGCTCCGTTCCCTGCAGCTTGGCCTCCATCACTCGGACTCCCTGGCCAGCTCGAGAAGGACTGAGTTGGGGCCTTCTGCCTTCAGTTCCTGACTATCTTCCCAGCCTGGGAACTTCAAAACTACATGTTTAGGGGCGCATAGATATGTTGCTAGGCGACGCTATTCCTTGGAAAGGGAGATCATGTTTGAAAAGATGGAGGGTCAGCGAAGGACAGGAAGACCCCCAGTGAGATAGAGTGACATGGTGATTGCAGCAGTGGGCTTAAGTGTGTCAGAGATGATGAGGATGGCACAGGATGGGACAGGGTTCAGGTCTGTTGTTCAGGGGTCACTATGAGTCATACTTAACAGCTCTTGTCACTGAGGCCCAATGTCCCCACTTACGTTGCATGCTCTCCGACACTCGGACAGCCAGCTCGTTGTAATCCAGACCTCCACCGAAGCCACCGAACATGCCACCTTCTGCAGCCCCATAGCCTCCGCCCAGGCCAATGTCAGTTCCATAGGGACCCCCTTCGCCCAGGGAGCCCGCACTGGCCCCGCCTATGCCTGCAGAAGAGCTGTAGGAACTGCTCCCTCGGAGCGACGAGTGGGAGGAGGAGCCACCCAGGCTGAAGGAGCCCTCTGATGACAGAAGACGGCTGTCCCCAGGGGGGCCCTGCGGTCCCGGGGGTCCTGGGGGACCAATGATGAAGCTCCGCACATCAGGACCTGTGAGCAGACGCTGTGTTAGTAGGAGCTCAGGTCTCGGTGGGGAGAAGTGGGGCAGTGGGGGCGTCAAAGTCCCTCAGGAACTGCAGGGACAGTGCACCCTGGCCCCAGGAGGCCCTGGGCTGAGCCCTCCTAGTGCTCGAGTCCTCAGCCCCCCCAGCCCCTCCCACTTCCTCAAGCACATTGCTGGTCTCTAGCAGGGAAAAGCAACTTCTGGGGTGGGCAGCTCGGAGGGTCAGTCAATGCCAAGGGCACCTACTTGTGAGGTAGCTGATGAGTTCACTGCGGAAGCTATCGCTGTTTTCAGCCGCGTAGGTTGCCAGAGCTGCTGAGACACCTGGGGGCCCTCGAGGGCCTGGGGGGCCAGGAGGGCCAGGAGGGCCTGGGATGGATGACAGGCCGGCTGCTGAGGGGGCGAGAAAGAAAGTGAGCAGCTTCGCTCCGCCAAGAAAGCCGAGTGCCCTGCTTGGACCCTTTGGGGGAAGGAGATAGAAGGCTCCGGTGGCCCTAGTGGTAAAAAGCCTCGCTGCAATCTCAAAGGCACAGGGTTCGAATCTACCAAATGCTCTCCAGGAGAAGGAGGGGCAATCTTCCGTGTGGTTTACGGCCTCTGATAACCTGCTAGAGGGTTAGCTATGGGTCAGTTCTGACTTGATGGCACATGACGACGACAACAACAAGGGAAGGTGATGAGGCTGGGCCTCCTGGGTCGGAGAGGAGTGGCCACAGGGGCCAGGCCCTGCCAAGGCCACCTCCCAGGGATGACCAGGGAGTGACTGCTCCCAGCAGGCTACCTCACTCCCAATTCTAAACCTCATTCAACTCGCAAGGCCTTCAGCCCCTTGGAGCCGGCACCCCAATGTGGCTCCCCCATCCTGGCTCATGAATCCCCTCTGTGCACACTGGTGAGGGGAGACTCTTACCCTGCTTCCCCCTATCCCTGACAAGTCCGCGAGTACCTCAAAACCAAGAAGCAGGTATGCCCACCCTGTAGGCCCTCCAGGGGGATGTGGTGAAGGGGACATGGCTTACCTCGGGGGCAGCCCCAGAGCCAGCCCACTCCCCTCCTGGAGCCTTACTCTGCAGGTAAGACGAGAGTTCCTCCCTGCTAAGACTGGACCAAGCGTTGCCTGGGATCCCTGGTGGCCCAGGAGGACCTGGGGGTCCGACGATGCCTCCAAACTCAGACCCTGAGACACCACAAAGAACATGAATCACGGTAAAGGCCCAGGAGCCCACCTTCCAGCCTGAAACACGTGGGCAGGTGTCCCTGATGGGTCTTACCTCGGAGCAAGGATATCAGCTCCTCATAGGATGTCCCCGGCAAGCCAGGGGGACCTGGGGGGCCAGGGAGCCCCATGCTGACCCCAGAACCTGAGAACAAAACCCCGAGTTGTGGTGAGTTCAGATGAGTGGGGATGGGTGGGAGTGGAGCGTGGTGACAGGAGGGCAGGGACTAAATGTGTAGAGAGTGTGTGTGTGTGTGTGTATGTGTGTGAATTGTGTGGAAACACACATCAATAGGATGGATCTCTGGAGACTCATTTTGACTTCTGCCCCGTGTCCCCTGACCTGCTCTGGGGTCATAAACTACGAACCTGCCACCCCTGAGCCCCATGCAGCTGGTGGAAGGAGGCTACTGGGGTCACTGCAGGGATTTCAGCACCCATGTCCTGACCCCGGGGCCCCCCTGCCGGCCCACACTCACTTTGCATGTAGCTGAGGACACGACTGCTCAGCTCAGCGTAGTCCAGAGACTGGAGGGCCACATCAGTACTCATCAAGGACTGTCGCAGGTACTGCCGCACGTCATCGCCTGCAGAGGAGAGGGTGGTCAGTGTGGGCCCACCCGGCACACAGCCAGGAAGCCGCACAGCTCACTCTGGAGTGGCAGCCTTGAGGGCTGGCCAGCAGGGAAACAGTGGTCTTCCATGGGGCACCTGCAGGGTTGCCTGGCACTGGCAGGACTGACAGGGGTTTGGGAGCTGCTGCCCCCTGTCCAGTCCACCTGTTGACTCAGTTGGTGGATTAGAGCAGCAAAGGGAGCATTTTAAGGCCTCTGTCTTGCAGCCCTCCCGAGGTGCACACCTGGACTAGGTGTGCTCGGCAAGCGATGCCAGGAGAGGGCCAAGAAGTCCCAGCCCGCAGCCCCCCGTGACTCACGCTGCAGGGCAGCCAGGATGTCTTCAGAGGAGATGGAGGCGGAGGCTGAGCCGATGCTGTACCCGGAGGCTGTCGGGAAGAACATGTCAGGTTACCTCCTGGTCTGCCCTGTAGGACACCCAGGTATTCCAGGGTTGGCACAGAGCTGGGCACTTTTGCAAGATAAGTTGGGGGCATAAGGAGGCTATGAAGTCATGAAAGAGTAGAAAATGTTGTTAGAGTTGGGAAATGCAGCTGGTCTTCAAGAATCTTAGCCCAACTCCACGCAGATGCTAACACCAGATGGGTCTGCTTCAGAACAGAGAAGGGTCCACATTCAGGAACACTTGGATCAAATATAAGAAGGACAGGGCTCCGAGGAGTGTGGCCTCCATTCTTCATCTAACAAACCGTTTCATGACGCTGTTGCTCAGCGGCCTGATGGCCACGTGTTAATAGTCAAACTGTTCAGGAGAAGGACAGAGCCAATAGCATGTGAGAGCCAAGGCTCTGGGAACAAGAGTGGGGCCTCAGGAGGGAAGGGTTCATGTCGGGATGGGGACAGGCTTACTTCGTAAGTAGCTCACAACACGGCTTGCCAGCTCTGAGTAGTCAAACGTCTCTCCTGAGATGGTGGTGACAGGCCCTGGGGGGCCAGGTGGGCCTGGGGGTCCCTGAACTCCAGAGAGATAAGACCTAACACTGTCACCTGTCACCAAAAGAAAGAAGCAAAGTCAAACTTGTCCCCAAGAGAGCATGTCCTTCCCATGAAGCAGACAGCAGAGTGCCCACCCCAGTGCGAGCCCCACTGTGGGCTCAAAGCAGGGCCCACAGGGTATCTAAGTGGAGAAACTGAGGCACAGCCCTCTTCTAGGCCAGGCTTTACATGAGAGGGAGGGAGCCAAAAAGACTCCAGTCAGATTCCACCCATCTGACGAGCCTCTGACCAGATGGCCACATCCACGGAAGTCTGGGGTGTATATCATCAGGGCATGAAAGGAGTGTGTGTGTGTGTGTGCGCGCACGCGCGCGTGCAGTTGGATAAGCATGTGATTGGGGGTGAGAGTGAGAATATGCTTGTGGGCAGGTATGAGAAGGTGGGCTGTGTGTAGACAGCCACCTGGGCAGCCCATGGACCTGGATCTTCAGGGATGTAAGTTCTACAGAGGCTGGGGCCCCCCCCCCCCGTCCCCAGCACACCCTCACTGCCCTTCCCTGACCCCAGGACCACGGAGGGGGCGCTCACTCTGCATGTACTCGGAGATGTACTGCTGGATCTCCCGGCCAGAGCTGCTGATGGAGCCTGGAGGCCCAGGAGGGCCCGGTGGGCCCGGTGGGCCCTGCAGGTACGTGGTGCTGGACGATCCCCCTGTACGAAAGAGAAACATTCAGAGCTGATTTCCTGGTCTGGGGTCAGACAAAATAGGGGCCAGCATTATGCCCATAGTCTGAGAAGGGAGGGTCATGTCTTCACTCTCTTGGGGAATTGGGACATAGCAGGAGAGGAAAAAGGGATGCTTGTGGTAGTCACTGTCCAAGAGGTCACTGAGATGGGGGGCTCTCCCAGGTCCAAGGGCCCTTCCACAACTTGCTCAATACTACACTTTTACTCCCTCTTCTCCAAGCACCCAAAGGCTTGACCTCCCTAGAGGCAGCTCACAGATCTTAGGACACGGAGAAAGTACCTAATCAAGTGAGTCATGGGATGAATGAATGAATATCCTTATGGGAATAACAAGCCTCACTTGACAAAGGCGAGAAGAACTTTGGCCACCTGTGGTTCTTACCTCGAGACGGACCACCAGGAATGCCAGGAGCCCCTGGAACACCAGGATCACCTGGAAGCCAAAATGAGAAGCCTCGTGTGTACCACCTCTTCCAGGAAGTCTTTCCTGATTTAACCCCACTCTATCTCTTTGCTTATGGTTCGACAATTGTCGCCTGGCTTGGTCTTCTCTTCAAGTGACGTCACAAGTTCCCTTTGTGAAGAGACTGTCTCTCTAGCCCCTCATCCTTTGGGTTTCCAGCCTCTCCTCTCTTTGGCCTCCTCTTTCTCCCAAACATCAGCTGGTTCTTACTGCCACTCTCTGGTTCCAGCAGCCAATCTCACCGCCCAACCTCCTCCCCACCCCCATCTTCACCTTCCACTGCTCACCACCTGCTTGACTCCTCCCTCACTGACCTTTGTCACCCTTGGGCCCCTGAGGGCCTGGGGGCCCCTGCATAGTGAATCCGAGAGAACCAGAACCTGGAAAGCAATGGACAGTGCTGTCAGCCAAGGTCCTGGGCAGAGCAGGGAGAGGGGTGAGGGGCGGGGGAGTCAGCACTCACCAGAGGATGAGAAGCCTGGGAGGCCTTGCTCGCCTGAGGGGCAACACGAGATTGGGGCAATTAGTCATATTTCCTTCCTCCATGTATATCCCAAAGGGGCCCTGCTGGTATTCTGAGCTATGTCTTGGGCTTTTAGTATGACCTTTCAAACTTAAAGTTCAGTGGTTCGGAGTCACCAGCCGCTCCATGGGGGAAAGGTGAGGCAGTCAGGTCATGTTAAGGGGGGCTGCCGTGTGTCAGAACAGACGTGAAGGCAGCAAGTGGAGGTTTATGCCCCATTCCTGCGCACCCGGTCCACTCCATAGACCCCCAAAGCCATGATTACTGAGGCTCCATTATCTTCTGGGCAAGACTCAGAGCTGTTGCTGTGTCCATGTGTGGACTGCGCGCGCGCGCGCACACACACACACACACACACACACACACAGAGCTACTCAGTTGTTCACAGAGCCATGCTCTCTCCTCTACTCATGATCTCTCATTTTTGTTTTTGTTTTGGGTTTTTTTATCATTTTGTGTGTGTGTGTGTGTTTTTTTTTTTTTTTTTTTTACTCATGCTCTTTTGGACCAAACTCATTGCCAAGAACTCAAGGCTCTTGTGACATCAGCTTTTGCCACCCTATTTTGTCCCAGGTTTGGCTTGATGTTAACTCTACATACCTTGGTGTCCTCTGGGACCTGGAGGCCCTGTGGGAGGAGACAGAGAGCTGTGAACTCACACCACCCAGAAGCCGGGGCTTCAATGGGCCCTACTGTAAAGGGAGGCAGGCCCCAGCATGGAGAAGACACGGGGCTTGGGGCCTTCTGTGTCTCACCTTCACCAGGTCAAGAGAGGGGTGGGAATGCTCTGTTGTACCTCTGACCTTCTGACTATGCGCCTCCTCTCCCCTTCGCTGCACTCAGCTTCCTCCCTTGCTCTCCCGTGCTCCCAGCTTCAGAGCTCCGAATGGGATAGGAAGGAGAATAAAGCGAGCTTCCCACTCACTGAGCCTCATCCAAACAATATGAGACAACGGTTGGGAAGGCAGGGACACGTACAGGTTCCTAGGCTCCCTGGACCTAACAGGTTAAGCACTGGCTGTTTAAAAAAATGTTGGCGGCTTGAACCCACTAACTTTCCTGCAGCTAAAAGATGAGGCAGTTTTCTACCATTAAAATTTATAGCATCGGAAATCCAGTAGGGGGTTGGCATGAGTGGAAATGACTCTACCGCAGCAGGTTCGGGTTATTTGGTTTGGCCTCACTGGGACACCGGCCTTACCTTGGTCTCCTTTGGGACCCGGGGGTCCAGGTGGTCCTGGGGGCCCAGAGAATAACGTTTCTGTAGAGGAAAGAGAGAGTCTGAGTAAGAATCAAGTAACACTTGAAGGAGCAGCATCTAGCAGACCGTCACATGCTGTAGAAGCTTGATAAGTACCTAAGTCGACACACATGGAGCTAGAAGGTTGAATGAGTGTTTAGTAAATGGATATTGAAGGGTCAGGTAGTCTATCAGAAGAATGAATGAATGAATAAAACACACACATAGGGAGATTCAGTGATGCATGGATAGATGGCTGAAGGAATGGTGGAATAAGTGGATAGAAAAAGGAATTAAAAAAGGGAATGAGATGGATTTTTTCACAAGTGGAGTGTCATGGGCTAGTGTTTATTTGTACAGAAGTTGTTTACATTTGTTTCTATCTTTTACTGTCAGTGTTGATCTCATTTTATTATGTGTGTATCCTGCTTATTTTATCAGACACATATCAGATTCTTTGAGGACAAGAATTATGTCTCCTCACTCATTTCAGAGGCTCCCAATGAGAGAACAGAGCCCACATTCCAGCCACGTTAACAAGGCATCATGGCTGGAATCTGTTCTCCCTACCTGCTCCAGGGTGCTGATGTAAACACACCTCTGATTTAAAGGTCAGAAGGAAGCGTGGAGAGCAGGTGGTCCACATGTATGTGATTGCAACATGTGTCAGGTTGAAAGATTAGGTGGAAAACAGCTATGACTCAACTCTCAACATTACCTGAGCTGGAAAGGAGAGATCCTGGTCGGCCTGGCGGGCCTGGTAGTCCTTCCCCTAGATAAGCAAAACTCCATGAATTATTAGGGCCACAAGGTGATCCTGGGTCTGCCCAGGAGACAAGGCAGGAAAGCTCTTTCCTAGAAGTGTGTCCAGAAGGGGCCTGAGCTGTGGATCCTATGGTCACCCACCACCCACACGGGAGCTCAGATCTCACCTGGGGGGCCTCGGGGTCCTGGAGGGCCTGGAATGGAAGGTCCTGCAGAGGAGAAGGTGGGGGAGGCCACGCTGAGTTCAGCGAGCTGATCCTGCCCCTGGATGCAGGACCCTGGCTTCTTCACTAAGTGCTTGCAATTCCCTGCCTCCCAAAGATTTCCTGCCCGTGAAAGATCCCAGGGATGCTCACCTGGTAGACCACGTGGTCCAGGTGGACCCGGGGGACCTCGAAGATCAAGACCTTCTGTAGGGAGAAGAAAGCGAGAATGAGCAAAACTCTACGAAGCTGTTCTCTGTCATGCTCTTTACCCCTTGCCAGGATCATCAACCCCAGATCCCCCAACTGCACCCACACCCTAGACGTGTGTCCCTGAGTCACTGGCATGGACCTTTCACTTCCGCCTCCACTAAGGGCTCTCCTCATCCAGAAGCAGGACGTAGCAGCAGGCAGACTCTCGGATACCTGATGCCCTGATACCGGGTGTGTGCAAGGATGGGGAAGAGCTTGGGTCTTGGTATCAGTGCAAATCCCTGCTCCGCCTCTTTTAGCTGATGCGACTAAGTTCTCAACCTCTTTCAGCCTCAGCTGCTTCCTTTGCAAACCAGAACAACGAGACCTGCATCGGATCTTGGGAAGATTCAGAGAGGCCCTGGTGGATGTGATGGCCTTCCCTAACAGAGTCGGGCACTCAGTGAGCACCAGGTTGGGTTGGCTACTGTCGTTGCTCAGCTGTCCAGGCGTTCAGGTGGCTACTGTCATTGCTCAGCTGTCCAGGCGTTCAGGTGGCTACTGTCGTTGCTCAGTTGTCCAGGCGTTCAGGTGGGAGGCACAGCACAGCTCTTCCAGCAATTACGGTTTTATGAAAAGGCAGACGCAGGAATCAGCCCTCCGCAGCCAGGGCTGTGGCTGAGAACCAAGGATGCTTCTCATTGCTTACTTTGAGTGGGGATGCCAGACTGACATGCCCAGTTCGCTCTGGAGGTGCCACCTGGCCCTGGCTCTCTCGGAATCCTGAGGACAGATCTGACAGCCGTGCCACCCGGTGACTCACCCTCTCCCACATCAGACAAACCCTCTGCTGTCCCTCCTTGACTGTCATTGTGCTCAGAACTGGTCATCCTTACACGAGGCCTTTGGGGATGATGACTCACTGCTGCAGCTGCCACAGTGGCTGTCGCCGCCCCCATGCCCGTCCCCAGCGTGACCTGCCCTGAGGGACGGGGTGGTACTCACGTGCAGAGAGGACCTCGGAGATGGAGGTGCTGCTGCTCATAAACGACTCGCCGGCAAGGCCCCGCTCCCCTCGTGGGCCTGTGGGGAGGACAGAGTTAGGCGGGCAGTGCCCACGGCCACCCCTTCGTGCTTTTCCTCTCAGGAAGACTGGAAGTGGAGCCGAACGTCTCGGGTGCAGGGTGGGGCCTTGCTGGGGGTGGGCAGGGCCATCAAGTCAGCTGAGGACATTCTGTCTGCAGCCAAAATGCCCTGGGAGGGAGTGGCCCGTCTTCTCCTGAGCTTGCCCATCTGCCAGTGTTGGGATAAATCGCCGAGCAGTGGCTTAGTGACCAGGGGCCTCGCCAGCAGCGTCTGGAGGCTCATGAGAGTAGCCAAATTCCACGTTAGCCAGACTGCCACAAAGCCGTGCTCTCCCTGCCCAGGTTTACCTCATAGGATCTCTTCCGGAGAATCCCTGCCTTTTCAGAAACATAAGGGGGCTGAAAAGGTGTCTTCCTCACAGCTGGCACCAGGCAAGGATGCTGGTGAAGAGTCATGCTGTTTCTTCTACTCTCTTCCCCAAACACACTTCTTTCTCTTCCTCTTTTGAAGAACAGGGGTGCAAGCCCACCCACCCTCAGCCAAATGGCCTCGTGATTGAGCCCACTGCCATATGTTCTTTCAGAATATGAATTACCTTGCTGTCCTGGGATACCAGCTGGGCCAGCAGGACCTGAAAATGGGGTTGAGGAGGAAAAGGATAAATCACGTGTTTAGGGTCATGGTGCTAGGAAGAATGGAAGAAAGGGCAAGGCACCTGGGGACACGTGTGACTTCCCTACAAGGCATGAAACTGTGGCCCAAGGCGGCCCACCTCGTTACTTGAGAACAAGAAGCAATAAGGCCCAACCCCTGGATGGGCACCAGAGGCCATTCCCTTTCTGACACTGCCCTTCAACATCCGAGGGCTTTTACCAAGTGTCCCTGGTATCCATGTCTCACTGGAGCTCACCAGGAGGGAAGGTTGATAGACACCTACTTTATTCATGCTAAGCTGCATACTTCCTTCCTACATGTGAATGTTTGTAAATAATGGAAAAGATATACATAGAAATAATAGGCATTTTGGGAAAATGTGGTTGTTGCTGGGTGCACCGAGTTGCCTCCTCTTCACAACGACTGAAACACACTGACAAACAGACCTGACCATGTTCCAGCCTCATCGTCGCTGCCGAATTCAAGCTCGTTGACTCAGTCACTGCATTGATCCATCCCTTTGAGCATCTTCCTCTCCTTCTCTGACCCTCTACTTTCCTAGACATAATGTCCTTTCCCAGGTGCTGGCCCCTTTTGACAACATGCCCCAAGTGTGTGGAAAACAGCACCCCTAATTCATCAACGTGTGAACCTTTTGTGTTACTTCTTTCTAGCATATTAAAGGAAATTCTTTTTTTTTAAAATTTTTTTAAATTTTTATTACTTTTTATGTGTGTACCGTCAAATTGGATCTGACTGGTAGAGGAGGGATTGTCCCTCCTTCTTCAGCAGAGCATCTGGTGGATTTGAACCGCATACCTCTGGGGTTGCAGTGCAGCTTCTTGCCTCTAGGCCACCAGAGCTCGCCTAAAGGAAATTCTTGCATCTTGTAAAAATTATAATCACAAAGCAAAAAATATTGAGTATCCTTCTTTTAAATATAATTGTTGTTGTTGTGTACCATCAAGTCAAAACTGACCCAAAGCTGACCCTCCAGTGGGTTTTCAGAGGCAGGTGATTGCCTGGGAAGAGACTGTCCATCATTCTCTCCCAGGACAGCTGGTGGATTCGAACCCTGCACCTTTGTGCTGCCAGTGCAATTCCTTACCACTAAACCACTAGAGCACAATTAGGAATGTTCTTCACATAGCTTCGTATTTTCTTAGGTTCATTGTTGCTGGATACAATATGAATAGGTGCTTCGAGCAGGTTTCTAGCATTTTGTTAACCTTGATGTGTTTGATGAAGTAGTTTTCCAAAAGGAAACAAAGTGCTGAAGGGATGAGTGCTCAGACTGGCCAAATCTTGGCTCTGCTCTGAATTAGCTGGGAGACTTTAGGCAGGTCATTGACCCTCTGGAGTCTCCGTTTCCCCACAAGTAAACGCGGATTGCAGCATGGATCATGCGTAGCATGGCAAGATTCTAGATCCACACTGTGCTAACAGCGCTGTTTATATAGACTAAGGTGCAGCCACTGGGCTGAGAAGCAGAATTGACCTACCTCATTGTCCCTGGACACAAAAAAGTTTGGCTCACTCCCCTGAGTTATAAGATTAGAGTAAAGCAAGGAAACGTGGACTGACCTGGAGAACCGGGAGGTCCTGGGGGTCCCATAGCTCCAGGTGGTCCTGGAGGACCTGGGACAGTGATGGTCGATGATCCCTCTAAAAACAGAAGGCACACGCAAGAGTGAGCCACCCTCTTCTTCAGAGGCTTAGTGATCCCGGTGTAGCCATTGGCCCTGTGGCACTTCTTCTCATCAGTTCAGTGGTAGAGAAAGAGCAACTTCCCTCACTGCTGTCCCCAAGAACCCACCACCCTATCGGACCCAAAGCCCATGGCCTGATGGAAGGGCTTCTTGATGGGAGTGAGGCAGAGATAAGACAGAGGCCCTAAGCCCAGAGAGAAAGAAATATGGAAGAAGAACTCTCCCAGTTGCCCACCTGCAGTGACAATCCTGCCTGGAGCTCCTGGTTCACCTGAGAGTGGAGGAGAGGAAAGAGACTGGTTATTATTCTGTGGACCAATTAGGGGTACAATAAGTCATTTCCAAACCTTCTGATTGCATTTGAGACCCACTTCTGGGCCTTTCACCTTCAGGCTAAAGGCATTTTAATGAACTCAAGGGGAGCTTGCAGGATGCATTAAGTGCCAATCTCTCACTCGGAGACCCTGGAGGCTGCAGCATCCATCTTCCTGTCCACATCAGCTTCTGGGTGAGGCTCTGATTCAGAGAAAGCACTTCACTCATCTGATTGTCTGCAGAGTTTACTTCTCAGGGAGGCCAGAGAGGGGCCAGCCTGAGTTTCATCCAGGCTCCCAAACTCTCCCACAGTGAGCGTCACACTGGGTATTGTGGATGAGGACATCATCAGTGGTCAAAGACAGAAGTGGGGCACCTAGGAGAGAGTGTCCCCAGGTTGCCCCATAACAGTCTAGTCTCCTGGGACAAAATAAGTGCAGAATTGAAAAAGGAGCCAGTGTTGGGACTGGTGGTGCATTTGGAGACTGCTGATTAAGTAAAGGCTAACAGAGCATTTCTCCACTCTGTCTTAGAGGATTGCCAAGAAGAGAATAAAGCACTCACACTTTCCCAAGTTGGCTGCCCACCACTGTCTTTTCAGTGTAGCATCTGGTGGGCTCAGAGATCCATGGACTCATTTAGGGAAGCTGAGAAAGAGACACTGTGTGCCATCGAGCCAGAACTGACCCACAGCTGACACTCCCTCCAGCGGGGTTTTCAGAGAGTTAATCACACAGGAGGAGACTGCCTATCCTTCTGCAGAGCAGCTGGTGGATCTGAACCTAGAGCCTTTGGGATTGCAGTGCAGCTTCTTACCACTAGGCCACCAGAACTCCCTAGAGGATGGCAAAGCCCTTCAACTGAGGACTCGTTAGGGATCTTACGTCTCATTCCCCAAAGTCTGTGAGCAACTGGTTCCTTAAGGAGAAGTAGAGGGATGGTGTGTTGTTCTCCAACTGGGAGTCAAGATCAAGAGAGGAGAAATGACTCCAGTGTGTTGGATCACAATCCAACACTCTGTAAATGCTCCTTCTTGTGTAGATAATCTAGGGAGGATGTGACACACAGGCTTTCAAGAAGAGGAAGGAAGGCTTCCGGAATCCTTGGCAATAAACTCTACCAGTGCTAAGGAGACCATCAGTTCATAAGCACATCTGTGCATCCAGTGCTCTCATTGCCTGGTATGTATGAACTCAGTCACCATTATCTGGAAAGTCCTCTTATTTGTCCTGAAGAAAAAAAAAAAATCCCACCACATTTTGGACCAACCCAACTTATTATTGGGAAAGTAGTTATTTCATTTCTAGGATCCCCCAGTGCTAACAGTGAATGCTCCTGGTAGACCATGATGGCTCCATAGGTCGTTGGGGTTCAGGACTCCGGTGTCGCAGGAACAAGACAAGGGCCGTCCTGAGTGCTGTCCATCCCTGGATTAGTTCAGTTGGGATCTGATGGTCCTGAACTGGACAACAAGCAGAAGAGCCGAGCAGGCCAAGGGAAGTCCTGCCTGTGTGGGTGCCACTGGCCTGGTCAAACCACAGAGGATGGCTTCTACTTCGTGTTCTTCCTTTTCGTCTTTTAGTTGCATCTATACACATTTCACTGCCTCTTTTGAAGTTGCTTCTCTGAAAGAATTTGCCTATCCAGTCACATCAATGTGTATCCGACTGACAAGGCAAGAGACGATTCCAGGATCAGGTGATGGTCATGTTAGTAGGGCACCAAGGCTAAGCTAGGGGGATAAAGAAACAGTGGGGACATCCTGGAGGCAAATCAGGGGATGGAGAGGCTTTAAGAGAGGCAGCACTGTTTCCAGACATAGTGCAACGTCAGCCTGGGGGCATTTACCCACCAATGTGAGGCCCTGGTTTATGGGGTGGGAGTAGGTGCCGGGAGTGGGTGGGGCAGGAGGCCAGATCTTATCTGTTCAGAACAAATCTGTAGCCTCCCTGGCTTCCTCTGCAGCCACTAGGTGCCACTGTTGATCCAGGCTCCAGGCAGACAGGTGCCTCCCTCTTGCCAAACCTCCTCCCTGGCCACAAAAATGGTTAGCAAGAAGGAAGAATATCTAATTTGGAAAATTACTTACCTTTAGTCCCTGGCCGGCCGGGAGTACCAGGAAGTCCTGATGTGATTAAAAAACAGGTGAGTCAGAATGATGGATGCTCACAAGTCCAGACACCTCCCAGTCTTAGCAGGCACACTGGCCACAGGGTTTCACCACCGCTGCCAGGAAGCCTGCTCTGCCTTCTGCTTCAGTCCAGGAGGCCCCTCCGGGCGCCTCTTGCTCAGGAACACAACACATAACAACAACTCCAGGATCAGAACAACAGCTGGGCTGGAGGAAGGCAGAGGCCCATGGACTCTGCGTTGGAGGATCCCAATCTTTCTGTGAGCTACATCCTAGCTCGCAGAACATTCCCACGGAGTAGTGACTGGACCTCCAGGGTCAAACCCAGCGTCCCTCTCCTTGGCTTAGCTACTCTCATGGCGCCATGGCTCAGAATCTGACCGACAGCAACTGGGCTGGCTTGGGTGGGGTTCAGTGGACACCTTGGAGCCAGGCTAACTCACCCCCTACTGCTGTGTGGTTGATTTCAGTCCACAGAAGGAGGCCCTGCACTGCCCCACAGGGGTTCCAAGGCCTTGACTCTTTCTGGAGCACAGAGCTGTATTTTTTCAGTTAGCACACTAATGTTTAATCCAATGCACTACCAGCAATTTCTCAAGCCACCCATGACCTGCAGAATTTACTGGTCTCTCTACTGTTAGCATGTGAAGGATGTCACCATGTGCACAGTTCTGGGGGGACGTGCTGCTGGATTTCATTTGGCGTCTTTGCCTAGTTTTCTTCAGGCGTTGGGGCTGATGCTGTGACAACGTCCCAAGTGTGGAAGAGTACACGTTGATCCGGCTATGGGACAGGCTTTAACATAAAGGCTGATCCAGAGAGATGGGGCCCATCTGGGGTGAGGGACATGTCTACACCTCCCCAAACCCCTTGCCAGGGACGTGGCAGCCTCTGTGGGGTCCAAGGGAACTGGTTATCCTCTCAGACCTGCAGTCTCACTGTCCCAAGTGTCAACAGGGCACACTTTAGATTGAAAAGATGACTTAAGCTCGCTTCACCAGGACAGCTTTTGTCACTGTCCTTTGTGTGCATACCCTTTCATCCTGGATGCTTTTTAAGATTCAAAGGACATGAGCTAAGTTTGCTGGCGTGGCAGGTACAGACAGTGGGCAGGGAGCGGAAACTCTAAGGGGACTGGGTGGGGGAAGCATTTGCTGTAGTAGTTATCCCGGGAGGAAGGGGGATGCTTGCAGGTGCCATCTGAAGGGGGAACTCACCTTGAGGTCCTTGGGGTCCTGTGAGACCTACAGAAAAAAAAACACATGAGGATAGAGGGGGCAGATTGGAAGTGTCCTTCCGGAGCCACATTCTCAACAGCAAGGGAGGTGGACCCCGTGGTGTGAGGGACTAGGGGGTTCAGGATGATACCCTAAGACTGAAGAAGGAAGACTGAACAAAGAACAATTCTTTGGACTTTGCAGTGGAGTGAGTGATCTGCAGCTTCACTAGGTCATGGTTCTTACTTATTTGTGAGCACAGATCCTTTCAGAATCTGAGGAGAGTCAGGAAGTGAGTACCCCCCTCACTGAGAGACCCGTGGTCCTCACCCAGGCTCCTCAAGGGAAGAGACTCAGTGTGGTTGTTTGCCATCTGCACAACGGTCAAAGGAGCAAACAGCTCCCCTGTTCCCTAGAAGCGCCCTTTCTGGCCTTGTTACTCTTTGCTGCCCCTGTACCCCTGAGGAGCCTGCTCGTGCTCTGTTTGGCTGTGGGCTCTAAAGTCCAGGGGCTGTTGGTGAGGGTCCAGGCCTGAGCTGAGGAGGTACGTTCAGAGGAGAAGATACTGAGGTGACTTTTCGACTGTAAATTTTTAGAGCATCTTTTCTCTTTTTTACAAGCCCTTGCTGTCAGTTACTGATCTCTTTTCCAAATTCCCAGACTTGGTGACTCGGAGGTAGCAGGCCCCACAGTCACACACACAGAGCCCCTCAGCTACAACAGTTCCTTACTGGAAGAAAAAATGGTACAAAGGACACACAGTGTAACACACACACACACACACACACACACACACACACTTCTTACCTGGCTTTCCTGGGTCTCCAGAAGGTCCTGGTGAACCTCGGATTCCAGGCATCCCGGTAAGACCTTGTTCACCTAGTGAGAGAACAGCCAGTGTGAAATGCTTTTCCTAAACTGGCTGACAAACCTCAGCCAATGGTTTTCTGTGGTTTTGCTGAGTGTCTTGACAGCCAGTGATAAGGAGAAGTGGGGACAAGGATTGGATCTTCTGTGAGGAACAATGATGTCGTGTAGAGACTAAGGTGCACCTGATCCAAGCCACGGTCTTTGCGATTGCTTGTTATACATCAGAATGCTGGACAATGGCTAAAGATGACAGAAGAAGAAATGGCACTTTTGAGTTGTGGGGTTGGAGAAAAGTATTGCACATATCATGGACTGCCAAGAGAATCAACAGATCTGTCCTGGAAAGGGTAAAACCAGGCTATTTCTTGGAGGCAAGAATTTTGAAGCTCCATCTCACATAATTTGGGGATGTGGCCAAGAGGGCCTGGTCCTTGGAGAAGGACATCATGCTTGGAAAGGTGGAAGGACAGGGCAGGAGAGGAAGACCCCATATGAGATGGATTGGCATGGTAACTGGGACTATGGGGTCAGGTGTGTCAGAGACAGTGAGATTGTCTCAGAGCAGGGTTCAGAGCTATTGTGCATATTATCACTATGAGTTGTAAGCGATTCGATGGCACATAACAACAACATCATGTTTCTCTATGACGTGAGCCTTTCTCTAGTGTAGTTAAGGGGATCAGGCTGCACCTGGGGACATGAGTAGGGCTCCAGGAGGAGCAGTAAGAGCAAGGAGAGAGCATCAGTGACCAACCTCTTGGGCCTTGTTGTCCGTCAGGGCCAGCAGGACCTGGGAAAGCAGAGAAACCCATCAGTCACTCCCTGAGCTGTTTCTGCGCCTTCCTCCATCTCCTGACCCAACAGTTTCACAGGAAGCTGCCTCCCAGGTGGGAAGCCTAGGGCAGCCCTTTCTGACACCACCAACCACCGAAGGAGCCCCTTCTTTGTTAATACCCTTTGGATTTCATTTTCTCCCTGCCTCCTTTCCTACAAAGGCAATTGTCTGTTTTCCTGCTGAGAACTGTTTACCTACTCCTCATCACTTCCCCAGAGCCTTTTTCTGGGTACAGCCTTCCCCAGATGCTCCCCTAAAGTCTACACATTAGGGTTGCATACCAGTGACATCACAGTCCAGTGTCCGGCACTTGAACGTCTCTAAGTTCTTCTTTCCACTGCTCAGACATTATTATCTGAAGCTCTAGATAAGGTAGTGTTCTTCAATGACAAGTCCTGCATTTTCACCCCTTTTTGTCTTTCTTGAAGGGGCCCTAATGCAAACATATCAGGCTGCTAACTGCAAGGTTGACAGTTCAGTGCCATCAGTGTCTCTTGGGAGAAATATGGGCAGTCTCCTTCGATAAAGATTTGACAGCCTCGGAAACATGCTAGAGGATTGCTACCAACTGAATTGGACCCAATGGCTGTGGGTGGATGGTGTCCTCATGCTGCCAGTCATTCTAGTTGGAAGAAATACTTTCCTCCACGGATCCTCAGACACTCTATGCCTTTGATGGCACTTACACCTGCCCTCTTATAAAGTTTAATTCCCTTAGACAGAGAAAGCGTCTTACTGGCCCAGTACCAACACCTTGCATACAATTCACGCTTACTGTTAAATGAAAGAGAATGAATTCTTGCCCAATCCCACTCTGGGACATGATAAACACTTGGCCTGCTGAGGGTTCTTGGCAAATGTCAGCAACAAGTTTATAACCTGAATCTGGCTGGGAGACTAGCTTTGGAAGACCAGAGCTGTGCCTGGGGGGAGGGGGGGTGGACTGGGCACTCCAAAGTCCTTCTCTGCCCTCCCAGGTTAGCAGGGAGCATAGAAGCAGGTACCTGAGAACAGACCAGGGCCCTGTAAAGCCTTCCTTGCAGCAAGGGGAAGCCGACAGAGACATCTGCGGCTTTCTGAGCCCAAACCCCAGAAGAGACCTGGGAACTAAGACTCTCCCAGAAAGTGCCCAGGTTCAAGAACAGGAAGAGAAAGATGCAGCTCTGAGAAGAAGGCTCTAAAATCTCTAGGTCCATGTGGACCATTCAGATGGGGCAGACTTAACTTGCTTAACTCACCCATTGCTCCTTTAACACCAGGCTCGCCCACAGCACCTGGCAAACCCCTCTGTCCAGGCTCGCCTGCAAAGGAAAAGGGCAAGCTGGTCTTAGCCTTTTAAGCTCTGAGTACTTCAGCAATGGCAGAACATTCTCACCCATCTCCACTGCCCAAGAGCCCAGAGCGTGCCATCTTTCCAACTGGAGGAATTAGGTGCCAACCAGACAGAGGCTGGGAAGCCCCTTCAGTTTTGATTCCATGCTCAGGGCTACGTGGCTCCCGAGGCAGTGGAAATGGACTACCCAGAATTGTGAGTCTTATTTCACTGGAAGCAGAAAGATGCCCCTTGAAGCCAACACATGAGCACCATTAATTTCTCTTTTAATCAAACAAGGTGGCAAGAAACAAGTGGCTGAGAGGGCACAAATGGTGCAGACTTCAGGCTACTTTAAGAATACTTTCATTTTCCCAGCTGGATTCCCATAAGAATCAGAGGCAACCATAAACTCCTCCTTCTACCCCAAACATTTACTCTCCTTGTTACACACTTTGATACTTACTTACACTCATCCATTGCTTTCTTTTCTCTTGCCTTGTTTTTTGTTTTTGTTTTTACCTTCCCACACCACAAATTCCCCTTAGGTTAGAGACTGTGTTTTCTCCCCTTTCCGGTGCCAGACTGATTTACAGAACGTCTCTAATGAATCCAGAATATTCCTATGTCAAACTGACCTGTGAGGCCTCGAGGTCCTTTCTCGCCCTGGTCACCTAACACAGACAGAATGGGAAGGGGGAAGGAGGATACATCAGTCAAGAGGAAGGAAAACAATCTCACTCTGCATCAGGGCTCCCCCGGTGGGAACTAGGTCCCCTTGCATTTTGAAGACTGCTGGCGAGCAAGTTAACAAACATTGGCAAGAGTGCAGCACCAGGGAGGCGTCAGAGCAAGCTGGGTCTCCCCCAGCACCAGGTGTGCCACAGACTGCATGGCGGTCCCTGCTGTCGCATGAACGGGGCTGGTGGGCACAAGGAGGATCAGACGAGCAGTGAGACGGCCCAGCCTGCTGCCTCCTCAGCACCCTGAGGGCCACTCAGCCACGACATTGGGCATGTTACAGTCCCTCTTCACATCCATGAGGCTGGACTAGAGCGAGCTGTCAGCTCCAGGGTCCCAGAACCAGGGTCCCTGATGCTCTCTATGCCGGGGCAGGGCTAACACTGGGTTCTCTGGAGAAGAATACAGGGAGGACTGAGGAGCCAGTGCATACCTTTGGGTCCTGGTGGTCCCATAAGTCCTTTGTCACCTGAAAAGGAAACGGACGGTATAAGGATCTTGGGCAGGGCAGGACAGGACACAGAGGAGGCACTTGCTCCTTAGAAGAGCCAACCATAGAGAGTCCAAGAACAAGCTATGCATAAGAATAAAGCCCTGAAGCAGGGATGGGACAGAAAAAAAGGATCGAAGGAACTGAGAATTACAGAGAGGGAATGGGAAGGGTGTGATTACACTGTGAATATTGTAATTAATGTTAGAATACAAAACATATACAAATGGTTGCATAAAAAACTAGTTTGCCTTGTAAATATTCACACAAATTATGCTAAAAAAGAGTATTAGGAGAGATGATTCATGAAGGGCACTGATTCTCCACACAGACTCCCACTCCATCCCAGCCTCACCACCTACTCTCTCACCTGTTCATCTCCACAGGCAGCTGGCCAGGCCCATCCAATTCTCCCTCTCCTCCCAGGCCCCCTTTGCGAGTGAGAAGCATATGCAAGACGTCACCCCTTCCCCATCTTACCTTTGACACCAGGGAGTCCCACTTCACCTCGGAGCCCTTGAAGGCCTACAGCACCTGCCGAGTGGAGGATACAGGTGGATGAACATCATCAGTTTTGTAAAGAATGAACACACACACACACACACACACACACACACACACACACGAGTAAAAAGTAAAGAGAAACCCTACAGCGCTGCTTTCTCTTCCCCACATCCTTGCTATCTAATCCAAGTTTCTGGTTCCTGCTGGTATCCAGCATCAGAGCACCTGACAGCAGGTGCCCTAAGCAGAGGTGTTGGCCTGCAATGCAGTGTGGACTGAGGCTGAAATTCCCCAGACAGTAGGATGGGCTCTTGGGCCCCTAGGAAATGGGTCAGAGGCCAACACTCCCCTGAAACTGAGGCAGGATGAGAACTTTCTGATGCAAAAGACGCACTATCTGAATGGGTCTGGACACGGCCCCTCAGGGGACCCAAACTCAGCCACGTGGACATGCAGGTGGAAACTTGAATTTGGTGTCTCTAGGGAGCTCTCTGCAACTGCTTTCCAAATGTTTGCTTCTCAAGGTTCTTTCATTTGCCCCATAAATAGCATGTGTTGATAATCAGATGCACACTAACCTGGGGGTCCTTGAGGGCCAGGAGAACCACTGGAACCTAGAAATGGGTATGAGACAATCATTAGCCATGGGCTCAGGTACCAACCAGCTATACCTGATGCTGGGTAAGCGCTGAAGGGCAGAGAATGGAAGCTCACTCCAGGAGAGGCCTGTGTGTGTTGTATGTGTGTGTAGCCTGTGTGGTATGGGTTCTTGCCAGAACCAAAGAAGACAGAAGGTCTAGGAGTTACCCCATTGCAAAGTCCTCTGAAGGGAGGCAGCTGCTTGGATCAAGGGATTCCTCACTCTTTCCTCACCAGAGTAAGACTCTCGGGCAGAGACAGAAGAGGTGGCCATATGGGCATCAAGCCCTGAGACAGGCTCATTTTCCTCAGGCTGTCCAGACACATTGCTGTTGTGCTGTCAAATAGACCACGACTCATGGCGACTCTACACACGTACTGCTTTCAAATATGACCGACTGGACCTTAGTCTGTTGAGGAAATTGTCTGACTTCGGATTTCCTGAACGGTCCATCTACCTGCCTCTGCACAGTCGCTGGGTCAGGATTGTTTGGAATCCCAGTGTCTGGACTTCCATGGAGCATCCCAGATGTGGCTCACTCCCTGGTAAACCTGGCTACTGTCATGGGCAGACAACTTACCTTTGGGACCCACAGAACCTGGCACACCAGGTGGGCCCTGAGGACCTGGTTCACCTGCAATTCCTGTGGAGAAATAGTGAAGTGAACCTTTTGAGAGAGTCCACATCCATGGAAGCAACAGTGAAACAAACCAAACAGCCTATTGTATTGGGCAACTGTGCTGTCAAGGACCTCTTTAAAGAGCTAAAGAGCAAGGATGGCAGTTTAAAGACTAAGGTGTGTCTGACTCAGGCCATGGTATTTTCAGTTGTTTCATAAGCATTTTAAAGTTGTACAGTGAGTAAGGAAGATATAAGAAGAATAGATGCCTTTGAATTGTGGAATTGGCAAAGAATACTGAATATACCAAAGACTGAGAAAAGAACAAACAAATCTTGTCCAGGAAGTAGGCACTCAGTAAGTAATTTGTTGACTGATTATGAGCAGGTTCTGACTGATAACTTCTTGGCACTGAGAAACTTTCCGACTTTGCTGATTTTCCCCTGACAGATGCACAGACAAGGATCTAATTTGTAAAGTTCCACCTCCCCTCCAGGACTGAACCTACATCCCTGAGGCTTCCCTCCCTCCAGTCACAGGAGGCTCCGGGGTTGCCTGCTCAGCTCTCCTATCCAGCCCTGGCTGCCCTCCCCTCTCTGTCTTTGCTCTGACTTCTCACTCTCCTCACCACCCCGTTCTAGGGAGAATGCTTGTTTCCTGTCTTCATGGATTCATAAAGCAAGGCAGACCTGCTAAGTCCCAGGATGCACCCAGAAGACAGGCTGGGGCCCCACCCACAGCCCATGGTCTTCACACTGGCTCAAGGTAGGTGCTTGACAAAGGTTATTGGAGGAAGAAGGAAGAGAGAAAGATGGAAGGAACAGAGTATGTAGTAATACCTTTGGTGAAGGCATTTCCTCTTACCTCTGTCCCCTTTCTCGCCAGACCCAGGAGGGCCTGGGGCACCTCGGAGTCCCGGGGGGCCTTCTCGTCCTCTCTGGCCCATAGGTCCCTCCATACCAGGCTCTCCTAAAGACAGAATGGTCAACTTTCAGGCTGTGACCTCAACCCCAGTTCCAGTGTCTTGCTGGAAAACCCTGGCATGAGGACTCTTCACTCATCTCCTACTCTTGTTCTTGTAGCCTTGACTCTGACTCAGATGTCAGAGCGATCCTGGAACCGTAAGTTCATATCCCAGATCTGCTGCAAATCTACAAGGGACTTCTGGAATCATTCTGGCAAAAGCCAGAGACCCTTATGAGGTCTTCCTAGATACCCCAGGTGATTTGCCTTCCTCGTCTGCTCCAGCCAGCATACCACTCCCCTTCAAGGCTGCCGGGGACATTCCTACCCTGGCTGCATCCTCTGTCTAGAAAGTCTCCCCAGATCTCCACAGGCGGCCAGTTTCTAGCCTTCTCATTCTAACCACCTCTTCCACAATGGCCATTTCCTTCACTTATTTCTATTATTTCACTGTCTTTCTTCCCCAACAAATTCTTGGTTTCATGACAAGGATTTGTCTGTTTTGTTCACTGAAGTTTCCTGAGCACCTAAAACAAGACCTGGGGCATAGCAGACACCTCATAACCATCGAATACCTGAATGAATGGAGAAAAATGCTTCTTACCCACACTGCCTTTCTGTCCCTTTGGTCCTTCAGGGCCTGGATGGCCCAAGGGCCCTGGGATGCCTGTGGATACAGAAGAATACGTCAGCCCTTAGTTTCCTCCTGAATGGTCTGAAATACCAGCAGCACCAGTGCTTAAAAGGACTGAGAAGGGGGCTCATCAACAGTTACATACCTGGAATCCCAGGGAGTCCTCGGTCACCTGTGGGGGCAGAAGTGAAAGAGAGAAGTCAGGAAGAGGACAAAGGCCTGGACCCTAAACAAACCACCAATGGAATTCAGGAAGAAATGCCAAGTTCAGCAAATAAAATACATTGCATGCTTAGTTAAATTTGCTTTGCACAAATACGGTGCATACATTTTTTTTTGTGTGTAGGTATACCTCAAATAATGAGTCCTAATGGTACAGCAATGAAGTATTTGGCTGCTAATTAAAAAGTTAGTGGGTCAAACCTATTAACTAGTTCCTCTTCAGGAGAAAGATGTGGCAGTCTGTCTGCACAGAGAACTCTGTCCTGCTGGGTCACTGTATGTCAGAACTAACACAACACTATTACTTCTTTATTTTGGTCTGAAATATTGCACTGCATACCTATAATACTAATGTAATATGTTTCATGGGGTTGTGCTGAGCAATTATTCATTATTTCTCTGCAGTTCATACTTAGCTGAGTACCCTGGGTTTTATCTGGCAACCCTGGATTCAGGGGTTCTGGAGAATTCCACCTCCCTCTCCAGTAGGACAAGGAGGGATGTGGTTGCCAAACTGAGGTCTTACAGAAGGGGTACTAGACAGGGACCTCAGAGTGTGTTCATGGTTAGGGGGCTGAGAAATCATAACGTGGAGGGCTGGCTAACCCCCCCGCCCCCCCCCCATACACACCCAACCCTGCGCTGGGAAGGAGAAAGGAGTGGCTTAATGTCCCAGGAACAATAATGCTCAGGGTGGACCCGGCACTTGTCAGGAGAATACAGCCTCATACAAAACCCCGGAGTCAGGGGCTCTGAGAAAGGGGCTAGAATCTTCTGGAGAATCCTACACTGGCTGAAGTTTGTGAACCCTGGCCAGCCAGATAAAGAGAGCTAGTTGTAGTCAACTGAACAGCACCTAACAACAACAACAAACTGCTCTCGGGTCAGTTTGCGGGTCTCTGAAACAGAAAGACTTCCACCACCCCCACCCAGGCCCCTGCCTTTTTTCTTTCTTCTTCCTTTTCTTTCTCCCTTTGCTGTGTACCATAGAGTCAGAGCCACCTGGCACAGGAGGAGATTGCTCCTCCTACTCCAGTGGAGCATCATCTGGTGGATTTGAACCATGTACCTTGGGATTACAGCACATCTTCTTGCCACTACGCCACCTGCCCCTTTGATGAGGAATTGTGACTGTAGTCTTAAATCATCAACCTTCACTCATATTTAAGGTAAAATTTCCATGTTATATTTACCTTTGGGGCCTTGACTTCCCATGTCACCTAAAACCACAAAGAGATGAAACTATGAGATGAAGCAAGAGATGAGAACCAGCTCCTTCCTCACATCTTCAAGCCATTCCCTCGGCCCCTCGGCCCCGCGGGCGCTCCTTGCTCCTCTCACAGAGGATCCCTTAGGTACTTCTCACTTAAAAGATTTTGACTAAAAAGCCAATTTCCTGCCTCCTAATAAATACAGTAAGATAATTTATTTTGGCATCCTCCAAATGGGAAGGAAAAAATAAACAACGAAACACCTTTCCATCTAAATAGGAAATCTTACCTTTAGGGCCAGGATTTCCTCGGAGATTTCCTGCAAGAAAAAATGAGTCCTAGGTTAGCTTAACATCTTCTCTGTCTGTCTGTCTGTCTCTCTCTCACATGCACACATACACACAGGGCCCCAGCATTGTTAAGGGTTAGGGGTGGATGTGTGTTGGGGAGAAACTGAGATTAGGAATTGGACTCAGATTCTCAACTATTTGAATTGTGGGGTTTTGTTCATTCATCTCTTCTGGTCTCAGTTTTCCCAGCAGTCCCACGGGATCACAGTACCAGTCCTCCCTTCGTCACAGGGCTCTTGAGAGGCTTAGAGGAGGCCAGAGGTTTGAGTGTGCGGAATAGCGTGCACACCGATGCAAAGGGGCCTCCCCACGACTGCCCCGTGATACACTCACCGTTTTCTTGTTCCGTCATTAGCTTGTTCCTCACGAACACCCAGAGCGCCTCTTGACCGTGGCTGTCCAGCCCACCTGTCCCCAGGCCTGTGCCCACCCCGGGTGCGGCACCCTGGAGGCGTTCCCTGTTGCTCCGCTCCATCCTCTCCTCGAAATGGATCATGCTGGTCTTCATTTGCTCTAGTTCATCCACCCTGGCTTTCAGCTTCCTCACTTCCTCCGCTGGAAGGGGCAGAGAAAGGCACCTTACCTTTCCAAACAGGTCTCCATGGGGGCCTGATGGAGAGCACTGGGGGCGGGGGGGGGGGTGTTCTTCATGTGGCTGGGATAGTTATCCTGAGACAATCAGTGCTGGCTCCCGGCAGGCTCCTTATTCAAATCCTGGGTCAGTCTTCTCACCCAGGAGGGTAACAAAGGCCCTCCTCTAGCTCTAAGGTGCAGTGACCAACCCTTTGAAAGGTCAAGTTAAAAACTATGAAAATGCCCAGAACAGCCTGTCAAGGGGAAGAGAGCACAGAGGTTGGCAATTAGGAGGCAGCTCAGAATCCTGACTCTGGAGCTGTGCCTTCAAGTACACGGTTTTACTCCACCAGATGGCGATTGCCTCCTGTTTGGCTTACTGTCTCTGGAAACTCACTGGAAAACCAGCTATGTGTCATTTCTTACTCGAGAGCACATTACACACCTGCCACTAAGCACTTGACCGTCCCTGGTCCAGTGCCTCCCAGTCCCTCGGTCTCCTCATCTGGAGCAAGGTTGTTGTTTCCTGTCAAGTTGGAACCCACCCATAGCTGACCCTCCAGCGGGTTTTCAGAGGCAGTAAATCGCACAGGAGGAGACTGCCCGTTCTTCTCCCAGAGCAGCTGGTGGATTCAAACCACGTGCTTTCAGAATTGCAGTGCAGTTTCTTGCCACTAGGCCACAAGAGCATTCTCTATGGAGCAACCGCACTTGGCCAAGATGACCTCACTTCCCACCCGCCTGGCCCAGGGCCTGACACGTACCCAGCGCGATGAGGCCGAAGAGCAGCCCCAGGAGCAACAGCCAGGTGAGCAGCAGGCCCAGCAGCCACTTCCACCAGCTGCAGCAGGAGCCGCAGGGACACCAGGCGGGCGCTGCGCCCCATGCGCCTGCACCACCGCCACCGCCACCACCGCCGCCGCTGCCGCCGCCGCCACGGTCGTAGCCGTGGATCTCTGGGGAAGAGAGGGGACGTTGGGGTGAGCTGAGCCCCTGCTCTGAACCCTCCAGATACTCCTGTCCCCTCCAAATATTCCAGTCCTCCCAAATGCTCCTATCCTCCCAAATATTCCTGTCCCCTCAAATGCTCCTATGCCCCAAATGCTCCTGTCCCCTCCAAATATTCCTATCCCCCTAAATGCCCCTATCCCCCAATGTTCCTGTCCCCCCAAATGCTCCTATCCCCCCAATATTCCTGTCTCCTCCAAACGCTCCTATCTCCCAAATATTCCTGTCCCGCCAAATGCTCCTATCCCCCCAATGTTCCTGTCCCCTCCAAATGCTCCTGTCCTCTTTAACTGCTCTTGACCCCTCCAAATGCTTCAACTTCTTGTAGCTTCCTTGGTGCCTGAGCTTTGAAGTGCCTGCACTTCTGAGAAAGAGCTGCCTTCTGGAAGGAACTGGAACCCTGGAGGCTTGTGGGTTCCTGCTGTGTGACCCTCTCTGTCCCCTTCCTTAGAACAGAAGATGAGAGGATTATCTCAGAGTGGCTGCTGAGTCAGTGAGATGCAGAAAAGAAAGTAGCAGGGTTGTAGCTTAAAAACCGGTATCTGAGGGGAGCTCTGGTGGCCTAGTGGTAAGGAGCTGCAACTACAATCCCAGAGGCACACAGTTCGAATCCACCAGATGCTCTGCCGGGGAAGGAGGGACAATCTCCTCCTGTACCAGTCAGATCTGATTTGACGGTACACTCACACAAAAATAATAAAAACAAACAAACAAACAAACAAACAAAAAAACCCCGGTATCTGTAACTTAGGATGTAAAACTTTCCTTTTAAACCATATTAAAGTGTAGAAACTTTACCCAGAAAATTCCCCCAATTGCCCACAAATACAACCAAGTAGCTTTAGGAGCTAAAATACAAACCTTTTACCAAGTCCATTCAAGCCATTAGTGGCATCAGTTACATTTATGATGTAGTACAACCAACACCACTATTCATTTTCAAAACTTTTGTATTTCCCCCAGAACTAGCTCTGTACTCCCCAAGACCCTGGCAACCACTCCTAAACTTTCTGTGTTTGGGCCCTAGTGTATTCTAGAAATTTCCTGTCAGTGGGATCATACTATACTGCTTCTGCTTACTTCTCTACATAAGCATTTAAGTTTCCTCCACACCGTAGCATGGAGCAGAACTTCACTTTTTATGGGTGAGTGATATTGAGTTGTATGGCTACTGCTATAGTTCGTTTAACCATTTGGGTTTTTTCCACTTTTTTTTTGCTACTATGAATAATAGGGCAGTGAACCTCAGTGCACAAGCATTTGTTTGAGGCCCTGCTTTCAAGTCTCTTGGGTCTATTCTAGGAGTAGATCACATGGTAATTCTGTTTCACTTCGTGAGAAGACTAGTGTCTTCCAGGAGCCTGTGTGTTGGGAGCCTCTGCATACACACACACACACACACACACACACACAGAGAGAGAGAGAGAGAAAGAAAGTCATTTGTGTTGTGTGTCTCCTACCCTGCTGGGAGATCCTCATATATAAGTGTGTACAATGAGGGCCAAGCAGAGGCCTGCAGGGACCATGAAGCATCGCCTCCTGACCTCAGTCCATGTCTGCCCCTTCCCCTGTCCTCCACTCTGATGCCCCTGGGCCTCCAATGGATCTCTCTAAAGGCGGGTGGCTCCTTGATGCAGTTTTCAGGCTAAGAGGCTGTGATGAGGCCTATGACTTCCATCACCACCAGTACCAGCCCTTCTTACCTGCAGAAGCAGCTTTGCCCTTGGCGGATGCTGCCTTCAGGTCTCCTGGAAGTATAAATATCAAGAACACACGTTATCCCATGAGTGTTTAAACTGGAAAAGCCCCAAGACTGCCCTGTGCATGGATTTTGGGAACTATTTTGATAAATATGTCCCCAAGGTCCCAGATAGAACAGCGAAGGACTGAAGGACCAAGGACCGGGGTATCCATGAATTCAGTCTTCATTAGCCAGATAATCCCACTAATTACAGCAACAAAGACAGGGCTTGGCTAACAATTAATGGTAGAAAAAGTAGCACTTTAACTCTCTTGAGACCTGAACTCGTGAAAGCATGAAGCATTTTCTTAAGATTGGCAGGAGTGACACTTGCAGTTAAGCTCTAAATGTGAGAAATTAATGCTTTCTCAGTTATGACTCTTTGAACACAGGTCTCTAACCTGGAGGAGGGAATTGGAAGGCTTGAAAGGGTTTGGGAGAGGGCTGTGTTTCCTAAAGCTACTTGCTTGTGTTTGTGGCATGTGGGGGGATTTTCTGGGAAAAATTTCTGTAGCTTCTGTCAGATTCTGAAAAAAAAAAAAAAAAGGTCTTTTGCCTCAACAGCCTAAAATGTAAAACCCAATGCTGGTGGAGTGAGAAGATTTTCTTAGATTCAGGCTACCATATCTCTTGCTGCCTCAGAATTTTGTTTAATTGTGCATTTATTTTGCAATGTCTTCTGTGTTAAACTTTCTTTTATTTTGCTGACCTTCCTTAATTGGTGGTTTGGAGAGATTCCATGTAGGACTCAGAATACATGAGGAAATACTGTTGTCCAGGGGAAAAAAAATTGAAAAGCAAAAAAATAAAACTAACAAGTGGTTTAAAGATTTTCCGTTAGTACAGAAAACTATAGGAGGTGAAGTGAAAAAATACTATCACTGCAGACTTTAAAAGACTAGAGGAAGATTTCTGCCTTGATTATGCCCGGAGAGATTGTTAAAACTCAGATTCACTAGGTCTTGGGGTGGGGACTGAACTCTGGTGGCCTAGTGGCAAGAAGCTGTACTGCAATCCTGAAGGCACGTGGTTCGAGGCCACCAGCGGCTCTACGGGAGAAGGATGGGCAATCTCGCCCAGGGTGATTTACCGCCTCTGAAAACCCGCTGGAGGGTCAGCTATGGGTTGGTTCTGACTCAATGGTACACAACAACAACGGGGGGAATCAGGGGTTCTGGCAGTGAAGTTTGTAGTATGCTGTGCTGCTAAACCAGAAGACCTAGAGTCTCTAAAGGTTCAAATCTACCAGTGGTTTTAAGGGAGAAAGATAAATAATCTCCTGTTAACATTTACAGCCTTGGAATCCCAATGGTGGGTGCTATGAGTTTGAATGGATTCGATGGCAGTGATAAGAGGCAGGGGCTGGAAGCCTGCATCCTAACCGGCTTTGTCTATGTTGTTTTACACAGGACCACTTGGAACATCAAGGTCAAAGGAGACAAATGCATGTGCTATGGAGCAAGGTACTATGAAGTCAAGGTGGGTAGCCACGGATTTATTCTTACCATTAGCTTCAGATTTCAGGCAGGTGTCGGTGGTGTAGGTGGCCTGCTTTTCTTTCTTTAGGGTGTCATCTGAGAAAGAAGCTGTGAACCACACCGGTTATAGCCCAGGTCCTCTCTCCCTGCCCCAGCCCTGCCCTCATCTGCTTTAGGGGGGACGAGGCTGGCTTGGTAAAACCAGAGCTTGGTTTCCGGGGGTCAGTCTCCCCACCTTTGAATGTGTGTTAAGGCACTTGCTGTGCCCGTAAAACCTCCCAGGGAGCACTTGGTTTGAATTTCCCTGGCTCATCTCGATTCAAGGCAGATCCCTCTTCAGGTAGGCTTCTCCCCCTGAAGATGACTGTGGTTTCCTTAGGAAGCCATCACACGCCGCCTTGCGAGGATGCCGGGTCTCCTACACCCTGCCTTTCCCCACAGCCTGCGTGAGCCGTGAGCCGTGTGGGACCTTACTTGCTGCGATGCTTGCTGGGGAGGCTGTGAAGACCTTGCCGCTGTCCTTGGTCATGATGAGCAGCTCCATCTCCTTCTTGGCAGGGGTGTTGCCTTTCTCCAAGATCAGGAACTTACAGTCCTTGTGCAAAAGGTCATCGTTCTGGACACTTGTGGTGCAGGCTGCAGTGAAAGGACGTGGGCAAGGAGGAAGGGAACGGGATCAGGATGGGAGTGGTGGGGAGAGAGAGAGAGAGAGAGAGAGAGGAGGGGACCAATGGGCAGAAACGAAGGATGAGGAAGCCGGAGGTGGGGAGAGCTTAGCAGGTGAGAACGAAGACCTCCCCAACTGTCACCTGCAGTGGTAACTATGTAGGATCACAGGGACCACAGACACCTCTCCCCTGCTTGCCTAGGTTTGACCATCAAGCAATTGGCCAAATGTCAGAGCACATACTTGTCTATGGGGCTGCCTTCAACCTCGCTAGGTTTTTGAACAGGATCTTTAGCAAGTAGACAAAATCCCCAATTGTAAGACCTTTCTTCTTGTTAACTTGGCAGATTCATTCTTATCCTTTAGGTCTCAAATGTTACCTGCTCTGGGAGGCCTTTTCAGGCATGCCATCTCAAGCACACATCTCTTGTCTCTAGCACTTCATTTCCGTCTTTTAACAACATTGGCTATTGTCTGTCAGTACTCTGTGTCTGTGATTTCTTTTGTGTGTTTGTGTGTGTCTGTTATTTCTCTGCCTGTTTATCACCTGGTTCCACTGCTGGAATTGCTAGCTTTGTGACAGCAAGGATCTATAGTCTGTCTGAGACAAAGCAGATGCTTGTCAAGATTGCTTGAATGATGCACACTCATGTTTAGTGTGGCTTTGTTCACAATAGAAAGGAGTTAGAAAAAACCTAAATGCCCATCAACAAATGAATGGATAGAGAAGCTGTGGTATATTCTCACAATGGAATACTATGCTGCATTGAAAAACAAGAAACTCATGCAATATTATTCAAAATGGGTGACTCTGGAGGACATTATGCTGAGTGAAGTATCTCAGTCACAAAAGGACAAATACTGCATAGTGCCACTGTTGTAAAACAGGACTGACATCAGGGTTGGGGGGAGACTGAGAAAGATAGGATAATGCATTGAAACAGATGAGGGAGAAAACTGTTTAAAAGGGATATGTGATTAGGTATTTTTGTCATGACAGGAGTCCAGAACAAAGACTGCATAGTGAAGTGGACCTGGGGGGAGGGATTGTAAAACAATTAAAGAATTTTTCTTTTAATTTTCCAAGGGTTCACTTGGGGGGGAGAAGTGGGAGGGGTGAAAAGTGCAACAATGAATGAATGGAAATCTAAAGTCTCTTTAGATTTTCACTGAAATTAATAATATTTTTTTTTAAAAAAAGATTGCTTGAATAAATGAATTTGTGAGTGAATGAAAGCCCATTAGGACCAGAGCAATCAAAGAACTGGCTCCCTGGGAGCTTGTTTATATATTAGATTTTTCTCCATCTCCAAGTAAAGACTCTACAGAAGACAGGGAGCTTTGGGCAGTTCCTCTAGGGCTTCCTGGCTCTTGCTGAAGATCACATGTAATAGAAGAAGGGCAGGCTTCTCAGACAAGCGTGGCGGGTGGACCTTGGCAGGCATTGGGGACAGGCTTGCATGGAGAGGCTTTTGGGGTGCCAATGCATTGGCAGGCCTCAGACTACCATGACCTCAGGGTTATGCTTCCCCCGATACACCCTGTGTCCACTGTGGCACGACCCTCCCACATGCAGCGCGAAGCCCTGGAGCTAGAGCAAGGGCACTCACCCGCAGAGGTGGACATGCCAGTGCTCACAACAGCAGGGCTCTGGGGCATGTTTTTCTTGACGCCATATGCTGCAAGGGAGGAACCAGTGAGTCAGCTCGGCCAGCGTGTGGGAAGCAGCTTGCTCAGCCCGGGAAGAGGCATGAGTTCAACTCTCTCCAGCCGGGTGGGGAGAGATGAGGGTTTAGCTAGGACTTCCCTCAGCACAGTGCTTCTCATCCTTGCAGATCCTCCCAGAGCCCACCCTTCCTTGTTCTTCCAAACCCCCAGCCATCTCCATGCCTTCTGAACTCCTGCAATTCTTAACACCTGCTGTGCACAGCTTGTCACTTACTTTGTGTTTACACCCAAATCTATTGCAGTCAATGCAATTCCACCTTATAGCAACCCTGTAACTTAGGGTTGGATTGTCCTATAGCATTTCTTAGGCAGCTGTCTTTACAGAAATGGATCGCTAGGCCTTGCCTCCCATGGAGTGTCTAGTAGATTTGAACTGCTAGTCTTTTGGTTAGCAGCCGAGAGCTTAACTACTACAACACCAGGACTCCTTATGTTGTAACATAGTAGCCCAGGGGGCAAAGAGTTGCACTGCCAATCCAGAGGTAAGTGGTTCAAATTTACTAGCTGTTTTGTGAGAGAAAGCAATTACCTTGTTTGATGTACAGCACCTGAGGACCCACTAGAGTATCAGCTATCAGTCAGCTCCAACTTGACAGCAAAGTTTGAGTGAGTTCTTTTTTTTTTCTTAAGCTTTATTTTTTTAAAATAATTTTAATGAGCATTTACAGAGATTTTGGATTTCCATTCATTCATTGCTGCACTTCTCTTCCCGCCCAGCCCGTTCCCCCCCCCGCCCCAAGTTCGCTCCTCTCTTTCAAAAGTAAGAGAAACACTCCCTCCCTGGCACAGTGAGTTCTTAACTGTTGAACGCATAGGAGAATTTCTACCTCATCTAAAGAGCAAGTAAGATGAGTGGGGAGGCTAACCCCTCACCCATCCTAATCTCAGGTCTGCACAGGAGCAGTGGTCAAGGAACTACACCACAGAATCAACCATTTGCTGATTTTCAGTGACAGTGGGGCTGTCAACGACAGCAAGCAGTGAGTTAACGAGGCTTCTGTTCCGTCCGACTCTACCGGAACAAAATATATAGGTGTTCGCCTACGTGATGTAGATACTAGTCAAAGTGCAGGTTCCCCTCTGCATTTAATCCATATTTGTGCCACTAAATGATCAAAGGTGGCATTTCTAGTTTGGAAGAGAACATGTTCCTGTGATGGAAAAGGCTGATTGTTTCTAAGAAACACTTCAGTACCTCTGATTTGGCTGCTGAAAGGAACATTGTGAGTTACTCCCCAAGCCCTAGGCTGTACATGCAGACTACTGACCTGTGGAAGTGGTGGTCGTGCCATGGGACAGCGTGGTGGAGCTGGGTGCCAGATTGTTCTGCATCCCAAACACTGTGCAAGGAATGACAATGGGTGAGTACGCGGTACAGTGTGTAGGGGAGGCTCCTCACCGGCAAGCTTTCCTGGAATCCCTAAACCATCCTCATAATAAAATTCTATTTGACAGAGGTTTCCAAGCTTCTCAGTACTTAGCATCTCTAATATCAGTGATTTTGAGGTTTCTGTGCCTCCTTCCCTCTTTACCCCAGACCAAAAGAAATCACTAATGTTCTGTTTAACTGAATAGGTAGCTTCTAGGTTGATCTAACTCAACAGTAATAGTTTCACTGGGCCAGATAGATGTCACTGTGCCCCTTAAGATTTTAAGAAAAATATCCTTGGGGCCTCCCGTTCAATGTAGTACCCTGGGAAGCCTTGTTGTCTGGTAATGGCTATGATGTGATTTGGACATAAGAGGGGCTACAGTGGCATTTACTTGGCCAACTCCAGTTTTTCCTTTAACTCCCTTTAGCTTCAACTTGGGTGTCCCGGCAGTATAGCAGTTAAATACACAACTGTTAACCAAAAGGTTGGCAGTTCAAATCCAACAGCTGCTCTAATGGAGAAAAAGAAGGCAATCTACTTCCTTCAAGATTGGATGGTCTACTGGACTGTCCTCCTCTGTCCTATAAAGTTGCTATGAATTCACTTTATGGCAACAAACCCCGTGACTGTTACATATATAAAACTCCTCTCCTCCCCTTAATGGTTTCAAGGGCTGGTAGTTTATCTATTTCTAACACTTTGCATAAACTTTTTCCTCCCTTCTCAACAGTTTCTATTATTCTGTGTTGTTCATCATTTGGGGCACAGAAACAGGTAGAGATCCAGTTAGGATTTTGCAAAATGGCAAAGGTAGGCTGAATTAAGCATAAGTCTTATATCTTCAAAGGTTTGATGGGACTTCAATTATTTAAAGTTGCTGAAAATCATAATGCAGAATTTATGCTTGCAAATGTGGCATTCAAGTAAATAAAAAAAAAAGACCCAAATAATTACATTTATTGACTATAATGGTCACTATACGTCGCAGGTGACTCAATGGCACATAACAACGGTAACATACTATAACAGGTTTGGAAGCAGGAGTGGCATCCACTTCCTAAATAACATGCCTCTGGAAACTCTATGAACTTTGATAAATGTTGATAGTTGCAGAGGGGCTTCAGGCCTTTTGTTCATAGGTTTGCTATGAGTCATGCTCAACTCGAAGGCAATCAACAACATTATAATAATAATAACACAGGAAGAAGGAAGATTCTTTCTAATAAAAGGTGGGAGGTGGTAAGTTATTCACTCCTAGGTTATCACAATGTGTGTGAAGATACAGTGAATAAATATTTCTGTAAAGTGGTTATATGTTTGCATTGGGGGTTAAGCAGGGATGTTTGAGTCCTCAATGAAATATTTATAATTAGTAAAATCAGTTTGCAAGACTTAAAAGAAAAATTCTTCTAAACTAGCAAATTTTTTCACCTAGAAATGTCCCAAGACGTTACTCATTTTGCTTTGATATATTCAAATTTCATGGAAAATAAGGGTCTCAGTACAGAATAAGCATGGACACCAGGTCTCTGAGCCCCTGACAAGGTTCTTGGAACTTCCCCTAAGTTACTGAGTTCTGTCTATGAACAAGGGCAGGCTGTTTGCCTCCTGTTCTCTAAATGCACCTCGAGCCATCAGGTTCCACATTGCAGTGTGCCTAAGGAAAGTGATAGAAGCTTTGGGGCAGAGAGCTGAATTCTCTAAGAAGCCAGTTCTCTTCCTCAGGAGAGAGCGTCCTTTACTTTTAAGCCCATGGCCTAGGAAAGGCTGGTAATGCTGAGCACTGACCTGAGGAGCAGGTGCTGAGTCCAGGGTGCAGTGTGGGAGAGCAGGACGCCATGTTATTCGGAACTCCAAAAACTGCAAGGGAAGAGGGAGGGTAGAGAGAGGGAGGATAGAGAGAGGGCTGGCCCACCCAGAACAGGGAAAAAGACTCGGAGAGTAGAGGAAACCCGGAACAGACATCAGGACTGAATTGCCATGTAAAGTTTGTAAAGTTTCGTTTTAGAATTCATTTAGTTTCTTATCTTGCAGCAAAGAACTAAATATTAGTTGTGGTGAACAAGGAGAGATCTTGAAAGGGTAAGAGTGCAAAAAAAGCACTGGGTGCAGCCCAAAGCTCTGGGTTGTTGGTAGGAGCTGTTGAGTCAACCCTGACTCGGAGAAACCCAGGTACAAGCGGACAAAACCCCGCTGGATCCTGCACTGTCCTCTCAATCTCTGCTTAAGCCCATTGTCACAGTCACGTGTCACCCATCTCACTGGGTCCTCCTCTCCTTCCCTGAACCTCCAATTTTCTAAGCATGATGCTTTTTCCAAGGACTGGCCCCTTCTGACAACATGTCCAAAGTATGTGAGTTGAAGTTATCAGTGTCGCATTTTACAGAGAAGCCACACGAAGCCAAGAAAAGTCAAACAACTTGTTCAAGGTCATGCGGAAGGCAACTAGGTTTCCTACATTTCTTTCCCTCAGGGATCCAGCAGGAGGAGTATTTTCTAGATCAGATTGAATTGAATAGATCTTTTAGTGGAAGATTCTTGGCACAATTGGCCACCGAAGCCGGTCTCGGAAGTCCTGGAAATGGTAAACTAGAGAGCGGTCATTTAATTCCAGGGGAAAGATCTAGAGAGTCCAAGACTGGAGGAGGGTGTGCATCATTCACATACCTGATCCTGAAGAATAGGCATTGGTGTTGAGGAGCGATGAGCTCTGAGTTGTCATGTTGTTGTGATAGGCCCCCATGGAAGACCCCGCAGGCAAGGTGGAGGACCACACGTGAGAGGGAAGGTTGGCATCCAGGATGGTCGTGTCGTAGGTCCCTGATACTGGAAACAGACCCATGCATGCCCCAGTGAAAGAAAGCCAGTGTTCTATTCTGCAGGAAAGAAATCACCTCGTCCCAGTTTCGTGGGGCTTTCCTGCCCTTAATACTTAGGGTCCTGAGTTCTGGGAAGTCCATTAGTGCCTGTCAGAGGGAGCAGTTGGTCAGTCTCACTTCTGCCTGTGATCTCAGAGCTGATGCCAACTTGATCTCTTAGACTGTAAGTTCTTGCTTACTCTTGGTGAGTTTTGAGGTTCCTAAATTCTTCCCTGGGTCCATCCTTTTCTCATTCTAAGTCCCTCTACCTTCTGGTATGCTGTTCTCACCTAGAAAATGACTCTTAGCCCACTGCTGACTTCTCCACCTTCAAAGATGCAAGGAGCACCTCTCTTGGACTCCAGAGTTGAATTTCTAACAGCAGAACTCTAGGCTTAGTGGCAATCACAGGGTACTGCTGTACCCTGTATAATGCCCTGTCACTGATTCTGAGATTCTGTAACAGGGATAGCATTTTACTTTTCTTATATGCCTGCCAGACACGGGGGCACTTTGTCCCTAGGAGGGGGTTTTTGTGCCTCTTCATATATGACACCAGTTCAACCTATTTGTTATTTGAGAGGAAGCTAGCAACTCAGGTCCTAAAATGCGAAGATTTGGTTTTGTATTAAAGATCAAACAAAGATTGTAACCTCTCTCATATTTCTAACAGTGAATGAGAGGAAAATGAGGTCATGGTAAAAGTTCTCTTCTCATCTTGTTCCAAGGATCTGTCATTCACCTTTCAGCCTTCCATCTTGCACTTGGACTTGGTATGTACTTGCTATCTCTATGCTGGGCAATAGGATTCTAAACCAAGATTACTTGGTTAACTCGGTTAATCCTTTTCTCTCCATGAGGGTAGTGTCTGGGTCTATCTTGTTCATTGCTTTTCCTTAGTGCCTAGCACTCAGCATAGAGCAGACATGCAATAAATGTTAGATAGATCAATGAGCAGAGACACTATACTTTTCCTCCAATTTTTTCCTTTGAGGAACCTGGTAAACATAGTCTACTGACAAGACTCTCCTAGCCTAGGAATCTGCAGTATCTGGAGTCTGCAAGTGGAAGTGTTGACGTGACACAAGGTGGGAAGAACACAGCCGACGTTTTCATGTTTGTGGAAGAGGAGATGCTTGGTGCTTTGCAAAGTCTCTGTCTTGACTTGGAAGACATGGTAGGGCACAGTTGAATACTGGGGCCAGGCAAGGATGCTGCCTTGCTCCCATGTCCCCATCGCAGCCCCTGACCACGGGACTTACCCGACTGGGAGCTTGCTGTGACGGTCTTAGTCTCCATGGTGCCCTTCTTAGGGATGGGGAGGGTACTGGAGCAGTTCCGCGTGGGGCTCGTGCTTGCTGACCGGCTCCCCTTGAGCAAACGCTTCACATCATCCAATTCTGTCCCTGTGAGAAGAGAATCTTCAGCATTTCTATTCGGTCTAAGATTCCTCCCCAGCGTCTACCTGGGGAGTGGGGGGCACATTTATGGCATTGTGAATATCAGGGAGGTTGACATCTGCTTGACACCCTGGGACTCTTTCAGCTAGCCTTATAATTTTTGCATTTTGCCAATTTATAGCACTTATCAACCTGGCACTTCGTAATATTAACGGCCTCATAAATACAGGCTTCTCACAAGGAGGTCAAAGCCCTTGGAAGATATTTGCTAATTAGATTTCATTAGGCACCGTGAGGATCATTCTGTGGCTGGAAGATACTGTCATCCTGTGCCAGGGTGGTAGGGGGAGGTGGAGATTTATGTCAGGGGGACAATGAAACCACCAGCTTCCTTGAAACGAATGAGCCAACACTATTCTCACTCCCTGTGCAGGAACGTCAGGTGGTAGGTCCCTGACCTTGGGTGCCTGGGAGTGTCAGAAGGAATTTGTGGTCCATAATTCCTAGACATTATGCTGCTTCCCTGTGATTTAAGTCCAGGGGGATCTGGCCAATATTCTGTGCAGCCAGGTGAGTAGGACAAAGTTGAGATGAGGGCAGGATAGTGCAAGAGCAGCGTGTAAGATTTGCCTTGGATTTACAGGCATATGCTAAGTAAGTGTCCTCACAGAATAGCCTCTCCCTTAAGCTCAGAAGCCCCTCCCTGAACACTGTCTTTTTAGGCTCAGCATCCCCAGTTTTGGAAGGACTCCGATGAGAAAGCATCAGGCCTGGAGTCGGCTCCTCGGATCCCAGGCTCTGAGTTCTCTGGACGAGTCTGAGTCTCTTCCCTGAGCTTCCTGACTCAGTTCTTTCTCCCCCAACATCTGATACACAGCTCCTGCCTTAACCTCTAACAAAGACATCAGGGATCTAACATGTTTAATGGACAGAGACTGGGGAATTCCTGACATCTGAGAGAAAGTTCACATTTTTTCCCTTTAGAACTCTCATATTCTGGTTTCTGACCTTTCTTGATTCTTGACTATTTTGTTGTGTCCCATGTACTCCCTGCCATCAACCACACTGAACTTCCTTTTTTTTTTTTAAACAGGCTTACTTTTTTACTCTTTGGGTTTTTGTGTGGTTTGTTTTGTTTTCCCCATTCATTCATTGTTGCACTTTTCTCCCTGCCCACCCCTCCCCTCCAGTTCTTTCTTCTCTTTGAAAAGTAAAAGAAAAATTCTTTCATTGTTATATAATCCCTCCCCCCAGGTCCACTACACTATGCAACCTTTGCTCTGGACTCCTGTCATGACAATAATACCTAATCATATATCCCTTTTAAACAGTTCTCTCTCTCATCTGTTTCAATGTAGTATACATTATTGAACCCATCTTTCTCAGTCTCTCCCCCAACCCCGATGTCAGTCCTGTTTTACAGCAGAGGCACCATGCAGTATTTGTCCTTTTGTGACTGAGATATTTTACTCAGCATAATGTCCTCCAGGGTCATCCATTATGAATACTATTTCATGAGTTCCTTGTTTTTCAATGCAGCATAGTATTCCATTGTGTGAATATATCACAGCTTCTCTATCCATTCATTTGTTCATGGACACTTAGGTTGTTTCCAACTCTTTGCTATTGTAAACAAAGCTGCAATAAACATGGGTGTGCATATATCTCATTGTGTGGTGGTTATGGTTTCTTTGGGGTATATTTCAAGTAGTGGAATTGCTGGGTCATATGGTATCTCTATTTGCAACTTTTGGAGAACGCGCCACACCACTTTCCACAGTGGTTGCACCATTTTACACTCCCACCAACAGTGAATAAGGGTTCCAGTTTCTCCACAACCTCTCCAGCATTTGATATTTGCTGTTCTGTTAAATTTTGCCATTCTTACTGGGGTGAGATGTTATCTCGTAGTTGTTTTGACTGAACTACTTCTCGCTCCTTAAATGTCCTCTGGTGCCTCATCTCTCTGAGTCTAACTCTGACCTGCTCTTCAGGCTTGAGCCATGCGCCACTGACCTCAGGAAGGCTGTACTGGCTCCTTGCACCTGTTTCCCTTGCGGTCAGTCCTGTGTATTTCCTCCTACGTTGAGCTGACCACCATCACATTGCACTGTGATGGGTGTTGATCCACTGTTTCCCCAGCAGCCTATGGACTGTTGGGCAGTAAGGGTTGTGACTTTGTGACTCACTCAGCACCTTACACAGAGCACCAAGCAGAGGGCCAAATTCACAGGAGGTCCTGAAAGAATGCTTTTTGACTTAATGACTGTGTACATGTATGCACACCCTCACACCTTACCCTCCTACCCCTGCACAGCTTTAGCCTTTAGACAGTAGCGGCTGGAGGCCTGGACCCTGTCCTTTCAGGAAGATAGTGGCCACTTACATCGCGTAGACGGGGATGCACTCTGCAGGCGAACTCGGATTTCACTTTCTGCACAAGGAAAGAAGTGGAGAAGACTGTGAATTAAGGAACCCAGACCAGGATCCCCAGAATGAGCTCTGAGCTCAGTGGACGAATCTCTGGGCTGCTCTGAAATGCCTGTCTTGAGAAAAGGATGCCTATGTACACCCAGAGGGAGTGCTCCTTAAAAAAGGGACATTCCTTCTGCCACCTACTGCCACCTACTGCCACCTAGCTGTATCCTCACACCTCCCAGGAATGTGCTGTTCTAATTAAATCCTGTGCTGGACAAGGAGGTTAATTTTAAACTAGCAGTGACCAACACCTGTCCCGCCACATGTTGTATGAATTTCCTCCTGGCTCTTGGCCTCTCAAACACTGGATAGAATGTTCTAAAGTTTTGAACTTCTCAGAAAGGGCAGGGAATTGATAGCTTAATGTTATTAATTAAACTTTAATTGGGTAGTCTGCATCTTTGAACTTTTAGCCTAAAGTTGTGGGTGTCTGGTATGCTCCTAACTCCTGAGTGACTGATGGCAGGAATGCCCACTGGAAGCCTGGCCTGGTGTTGGAGAAACTCCTGGAGCTCTTTGGCACAGCCTAACACATCCTCACCACCCTCACCCAAGTTTATCAAGGACAGCTTTCCCCAAGCCTGTATTTCTCCATTTCATGATCAGATAAGGACATTTCAGAACATTCATGGAGCCTTTTGTCTATCCTTTGGAAAGTTTGAAAAAGAAGGTATTTTGTTGAACTTCTGATACATAACAGCAATTAGGAGATCAGAAGTAAAACTAATTATAACATCCATATTTTTAGGGAATCCTCAGCACACAAGCTATTCCTCTAGGTCATTACCATGTGTTTTGGTTCCTGCCTCCACGTGTTTATATCTCACATTATCTTTTCTATCCTGATAGAGTCAGCAAAAATATTCCCGAGATAGTGTGTGCTCCCAGAGAGCAGATTTTACTCGTAGTTATCATTTTGTCCTCATCACACTTCGTAGAGCTTGAATGTCTGCTCAGAAAATCCTTGTTGGGTGAACTGAGCTGAACTGAACCCAGTGGTGGTGATTACCTCGTGTTTGGCTCCGTCCCCTAGTTGAAGAAGATGCTGAGAAAGAAATAAAAAGTAAGGTTAGAAGGGGGGAAAAAACTAGGCATATGCAAAAGGTAGCAACTTGAATTTTTTTGGCACAGAGGTAGGGGTGTGTGTGCATGCGTGTGTGTGCGTGTGAAAAAGAGAGAGCTGTTACATTGTATGCTGTACCCAAACAGCAATCTTTATGTGTTAAGTTGTTATGTACCATCAATTTTGAACTGACCCATAACTGATCCTCCAGTGAGTTTTCAGAGGGCGGTTAATCACACGGGAGAAGACTGTCCATCTATCTCCCATGGAGCAGTTGGTGGATTCAAACTGCATGCCTTTGGGTTGGTAGCACAATTCCTTACTACTAAACCACCAGTGCTCCCTAACCTTTATGCAGTAGGTGCTTAATAAATGATGACCACATGTGTTGTTAAATGGCTTTAGTTAAGCCATGTGATAGCAGAGTCCATTTGGACTGGCTGACTATATTGATAAAACGTATTAAAAACTGTTACATTTTCCTTTAATTTGTCGTTAGAGACTGTTTTGTATTTCCAGTATAAGCAAATAAATAAGTAACAACCAATGAAAATTCAATGGTCGTATAAAAAAATTATATACATAATGAAATTTGCAAAAATACAAACTAAAGATTTTAAGGCCAAGTGTGTATCTGACCTAAGATTTTGGTTCAGTCACAGCTGATGAAGCGAAACCAGATGGATTATGATTTTCAAAATATGGGTGACCTTCAATGGTAACCAGAGCAGACAAATGATGGGTCAAACCCTGCCAGAAAGTCAGTCTCCTTCTTAGAAAACAAGGGCATTGTGCTCACTGCGTAGCAGCTAGATCTCTTCAGCAGCTGAGTTGAAAACTATGATGCTCGGCTCAATGACGGTGGGTGACTGCACCACTTGAAATATGTTTGCTCTCCACAGTCTTGACTATAATCCACTATCCCACATCAGGCTCCTTCAAAGGGCTCACTATTTCTTTTTAAAGTCTTTTATTCCAGGGCTTTAGTCTATAATTATCCCCAATCCTGGATCATCCATATTTTAAAACTTCAAGTGTTTTCTGGTTTCACTGTATTAGCTAAGATTGAGTAAACTCAAAGGGTTCAAAGCTCTACTTTGAGGTAACTTGTATTCAGATGCTGGGCAGTTTGAAATGTGTGTGTTCTAATATCTGCTCCTTATTGCTGGGAGGCTCAGTGAATCCCAGTGAAGGAAAAATCCTTCTAAGTGTTATTTGGCTGTAGGGTGTATTCATCCAAGCTTGAGCTTTGTATAAATAACTTGCCATCTCTGTGTGTCATGATCTTATGATACTAGTTAATGTGGCTGACAGGTCCTTGAAGACACTTCAGGAAAAAGAGTAAAGAGAACAGGCAAGCAGTCAAATTCTTCTAGAAGAATACGTTTAACTCATGATGGCACCTACCCCTCTACACATTTTTTGCAGGATCCAAATTGACCATTTCCTCAGAAAAGAAGGAAAATACGTACCAAATTCCTTTCGAGGATATTCTGGAGATGAGTTTCCACTGGAGCTCCCTGGAGGGATGATAAAACAGTACAAGCCTGAGGATGGGTAGGGCCCAGCGACTTCTTTTTTAACATCCACAGCACTCAAAGTTTCAGGAGAAAAATGAGACTCTTCTTCAGCAGACATTTTAAATGGAACACGCTCATGATTTTAAAGACCACTCCCCTATCTGGACTGGGTGTCACTTCGTTCTGGTCCCTGGTCCATTTCAGATGGGACACAGTGTGAACAAAGGAAAACCAGAAGTTTCCTCTTTCTTCCCTTCCTTCTGCTCCCCTTTCCCCCTCGTCTCTCCTTCCCTTTCTTTTTCTCCCTTCCTTTCTTCCCTGTTCCCTTAACTGCATTTGTCTTACAGTGAGCTAGTGCAGGTGAAGTCCCAGGAAATAATGTTTAGGGACATCCTGACCTTGTGATGCTTATCCCAGCCATGGACTCTGGCAAAATGAAGGTCAAGCCCAACGCAGGACTCACCATGAAAAGACACTGTAGTGACATTGCACAGTCAGTGACGTTTCGCCTGGATATTATTAGGCTCTTAACTCCTTTAAACTACTTTGTGAATGGTACTCAACTAGGCATCTTGGCCCTAACTTCTCTGAGATCAAGTCCTACATGTCCCACTGACAACTTATTACCTCCACCTGAAAGCTGTGCCAAGAGCTCGATTTCAGGGTAAAATAACAAACCCACCTAAACAGAGTAACCTGCTCCATTAATGGCACCACCATGAGCCCAAACACCTGGGTTTGAAACCACAGTGGGGTTGCTGACTCTCTAAACTCCCTTTCTCTCAATACAACCAATTCCCAGACCTATCAAGATTACCTAATCATACCTCCAGTTCCTCTTCACTCCCACTGTGACCACTTTAGTCCCAAGCAAAACTTCTCCCTCTTGGATCATTGCAGGCAACTTCTAACTTGTCACCTGTGGCTAGTTTCTTTCCTACAAGTCTATCCTACACGTGGTCTCCCGAGTCAATGTGCTACCTTTCAGATACGATTGACTCTTTGGCTCCCATTGCATATAGAATGAAATCGAAGCATTTAACCGAGACTCCTTTTCTACCTAAGTACCAGCCGCTGCTCCTTATTCAATCTTTGCCTATCCTTGCAGATGCTGGAAAGGCTCTCTTGGCCCGAAGCATCCACCTCTCCCATCTGGGCGTCAAAATCTTGCATTTCATGACAGCTCAGCTCAAATGTCTCTTCCTCCAGACTATTTTCCTTAACCCTCTCAAATGAAAATTGTAATCCTTTTCTACTTTGTGTTACAGCTCTACACTTATCACCTTAACTTTTCTATCAGACTATTGGTGGCTTGAAGGCAAGATTCATGTCTGATTCATTTAAGCAACTATTCAAGCAGTCTATGTAGTATTTAAGCACATAGGAGAGATCTCTGGCAGAACAACAGTTGAACGGATGACTGAGTCGTGGGATGAGTGAATGAATGAAAGTCTTTAAGCAACGTGAGTCATGAGAGAAATGAGTGGGGAGAAAAGTAAGGAGGCGGACACAGGTAAACACAGGTGCCCAAAACGTAAATCGTCAGTGGAAGAGTGAAGTTCCTCAGGGAAAACAGTGGGCCTTTTGTAAGGTGGTGAGACTGATACCTTCGTATGCTGCATGGCGAGTGACAGTTTTCCTTTCAAAGGTTGAGCCTGGTGAGTTGGGCAGAGTGGAGGCAGGTGAGTGAGCCCTCCTGTAACTGGAGGTAGAGGCATTTCCTCTTGTGCTTCCACCTACAAGTGGGAAAAAGCACAAATCCTGATAGTACTTCATCTGAGATGACTCAAAGGGCGATTGAAATCCAGTTATATGGACCAAATGTACTGAGGCTGCCTAAATGAGGGGCCTGTAGGAGGCACTGGGGGAGAAGAGAAGAACACAAGCAAAAGCGTCGGCATTTCCACGGTTACTGAGCCCTGGAAAGGTAGCACTGCTGCTATTGCCACACCTCAGCTGACCACTGAAAGGCAGGATATCCTTTAGGTATGTAGTGACAGCATAAGGGGGTGGAGAGGACTTGGCAGGGCGTTGGATTGGAAAGGACCTGGTTGGACTAGCACTGAAACAGATGAGGGAGAGAATAATTTAAGAGCGATGTATGATAGGGTATTATGGTTATCACAAGAGTCCACAATTAAGGTTGCATAGTGGAATGTACTTGGGGCGGTGGGAGGGGTGTGGGGGAATTGTGTCCCAGGGAGGGAGTGTTTCTTTTACTTTTGAAAGAGAGGAGCGAACTGGGGGGCGGGGGGGGGGGTGGGTGGGGAGAGAAGTGCAGCAATGAATGAATGGAAATCCAAAATCTCTCTAAATGCTCTTTAAAATTATTAAGAAGGAAAAAAAAATAAAACTACCATAGAACAATGTGTTGTAATGGGAACAATGGGCTTGTGTTGGAAGCTTACACAGATGTAGGATCCTCTGTGACCAGTTTTCTGAGAACAGTAACCTAATCATTAAGTGTCTTTGTTGTTGGCTGATGGTCATTCGCATTGTAAGTCCTCAGCCGTGCACCCTCTACAGAGATGGCTTTAAGGGAGCAATTCAATGGGGAGCAGTCATCTCACGGAGTCTCTTTAATCCATCGCCCTTATTTTTCTTGGGGATTTGATGGAAATATGTTAATTGGGTGTCAAACACTGATAATTTCATGGTTACCTTCTCCTGCACTGTCTTTCCTCTGGAGCCTTCCGGGGGCATTTGGAATGCATGATAAGTAGCTCTAATTGTCTCCTCACATTGTTTCAAGACATTGTCTACCCCCATGTCCTTTGCAGGACTTTCCAGCTCCATGTCCACAGCTCTTCACATTAACAGCACTTACTTGAGTTTATGTAGCCGCTGCTGCCATGCAGCAGGCTCTGTTTCTCCACTCTGCTCCCTCCACCAAGAGAACCTGTTTTAGAGTAGCCATTGCTCGTTCCCCCTTCTGTCAGAGAAGAGAAGCGACAACACAAGGGGAGAGTGGGTTAGTGGGCCACCTTATTTCCCTGGACCATGCAAGTCTTCCCTCCCTTCTCACAAGGACACATTGAGTTTGGGATCCTTTCCCCAGGGTAATTTTGTCCTCCTCTGTAAGACATAAGCTGCCAGGTGCTAGTTTGGATTGTTTTACTGCAAATGCTAAGAGCGATTGCTCCACCATATTTAAAGGCTTCTGGGTGGAAGGTAGCAAGTTGCTCGATGGGGAGGTATCACTGTTAGAAAAGGCAGCTGAGTGAGGAAAAGCTCTTGGAGGCCAAGCCCTAGGTTGAGGTTGCGCTTTCCAAATGCTTGATGAGCACTGCAGACATGGCTCAAGGCATGGCTCGAGCTCAAGCTCTAAATTGCTGGTGTTCTATCTGGAAGCCCATCACTCTTCTAGCCTCATCTGCTGGGAGGTGCTATCTCCACTGTCTTTGAGCCAGGTTCCCTATAAAGAGCTGGAGGAGTGAGGCTGCTTTATAACCCAATCTATTAAACCTAGGGACCATCCTGGAACAAGTGGACACAAAGTGAAGCTTACTCAGAGACTCCCTTCTCCACCCCCACTGCCCTGCCCACCTTCTACTCATTCTCAGATGGGAGAAAAGTTCGGATATTTTAGTACTCTAAACAGGCAAATCTATTGAGACAGAAAGTAGATTTGTGGTTTTCATTAGATGAGGGGAGCGGAAAGGGGAATAGAAAGTAATTGTTAATGGTCATTAAGGTTTTCTTTGGGGCAAGAAAATGGTCTACATGAAAATTAGACCAGAGAGATAGTTACAAAATTATATACTAAAATCAGTAAAGTGTGTGTTTAAAATTGGTGGAAATTGTGATATATAAATTATATCTCTCTCTATTGAATATTTCAGATATATTGTATTTGTTCAACTATAGAGTAAGCTACAATGAGGTTACGAGTACTTCACTCAGGATTTATTAAGAAGAAAGCTGTGGAGGTAGTTACTTACTTGGTGGTAAGGATGTAAGTCTTGTGGTTACTGTTTCAGTGATAACTAGAAAAATACAAACAAAAGGTCAAGTATGTTTACTCACTGAGATCCCTCTGCTGGGGCAAGGTCTTCTGTCACTGACTGAGCACATGAAAATAAGACTGAATACAGATTTTTGTCTACTTCTGTTTTAAGGTATGGATATGACCCATTTGACATTAAAAAAGTTCAGTAACAATAGATTTTAATGTACTCAGAAACTAAGTTTTTATTTTTTTGGCACTCAGACGCCACTGATTTGAAAGCAAGTTGTTTTGGCTTGGTATCAAGGTTTCTTATCCAACAATTGCATTCATCCCAGTTTGACTTTGAAGAGGGAGCAGGCCCTTCTTGTGTGAGTGCCTTGGTTTCTTTGCACTGACACTCCCAAATTGTCCCCTAGCCCAACCTGGACCAACACCCAATCATCCTATCTGATCTCATTGAGAAGCAGATAATATTTGTACTTCTTTATGAACCTGGGAGGTGCTTCATTTATTTTGGGTTTACTATGAAATCTTGAGGGTCACACCTGACTGTGAGGAGTATGTATTAGAGTGTGGGCTGGAAAGAGAAATCTGGGTAAGTCACACTTGTTGTTGTGGTTATGTGCCCTCAAGTCCCCTGAGACTCATGGCGACCCTGTGTACAATAGCTCTGAAATCTGCCCTATCTTGAGAAGGATACTAAAGATAGACTTGAAGAAACAGTACATTATGCCTCCAAATCTCGACTGATGGTTGTTGGTGCTGTTGTTATGTGCCTCCGAGTTGCTTGTGACTCATAGCGACCCTATGTACAACAGCCCTAAACCCTGCTCTATCCTGTGCCAATTGCATTGCCTCTGACACACCCATTCCGATTACCACAGTCAATCAATCCACCTCATAGAGGGTCTTCCCCTCCTGCGCCTGCCCTCCACCCTCCCAAGCATGATACCCTTCTCCAAGGACCTGTCTCTCCTTACAACATGTCCAAAGTATGTCAGACGAAGTCTCAGAATCCTTGCCTCCAAGGAGCAGCCCGGTTTAACCCTCTCCAGGATGAATCTGTTTGTTTTCTTGGCAGTCCATGGTACCCTCAATACTCTTCTCCAACACCAAAGCTCAAAGTAAGTATGGATATAATAAGAGTAGAAGCTATTTCAAAGATAACATTTAAAAGGAAAAAAAAATCCTCTTTTCAGATTCATTCTATTCTTTTGTAACATGAGTGTTTGGGTAGATTCACAAGCTGCTGTTATTATGTGCTGTGGAATTGGAACTGATCCACAGCTGACTGTGAAGAAGATTTTCAGAGTTCATAAATTTTACGGTTGGAGATTACTTATCTTTCTCCTTATAGGGGCTGGTGGATTTGAACCATGGCCCTTTGCAGCACTCCTCCTCACCACCTTACCAAATGGTGTACCTTTGGGTTGGCAGTGCAACTCCTTAAACTGTGCTACAGTCCCAAAAGGCACAGGGTTCAAATCCACCAGCTGCTCCATGGAAGAAGGATCTCCTCCTGGGCCACTTATTGCCTCTGAAAACCCAATAAAGGGTTCGCTATGAGTTAGTTCCAACAGGACAACACACAACAACAAACAACAACAGGCCTCCAGAGTGCCTTCCATTTGACATAGAGGAACAGATTTATTGTTCTTTAAATCTATACTGTGTATGCCTGTGTTTGTGTGCTGCTTATATTCGTAAGAGTGGGTAGCACACATACATGGGTGTTGGTGTGGGGTGGAGAGAAAAGGAACGGAAGAAGATGGTGCAGGATTATTTTTTTGGCTGCTTTAAGCTGCTGCTTGCAACCGCTCCATCTCATGTTAGTCCATCGCCTAATTAGTGCATCTTCCTACTTACCTTAGTGTTCTAGCAGGAACAGGAACCTGGGGTTATGAACAGAACAGAAATAGTGTTCGATGCATAAAAGGGAATAATAGTCCCGTGCTTCCTCTAACCCTCTCAATGCATAGGCCTTTGGGATCCTTTGCTACATAAAAATACATTATTTCCTAATTCCAAGTTCCAAGTCTGTGGAGCCAGAATTTTTGTTTAATTGGTGATATATGAAAGTCACAGAATAGGTAAAACAAGTTCTCTAACTTAGAGTTACTAGGGGGACAGTTTTAATGACCCTAGATTTATCATTTGGACAGTTTAACAGAAGAAGGGTGACTGTTTTCAATTATTTTAGTGTAGATTTTGACAGTGACACAAGTGTTATTCCAACTTTATCCTTGCAGTAAGTGGGATTATACTTTTCTATTTTTATTGTCCTAGCTGCTTTGGTAGCCTAGTGGTAAGGAGTTGGTCCTGAAGGCACCAGCTAGTTCAAATCCACCAGCTGCTCCATGGGAGAAAAATGGACAATCTTCTCCTGTGGGATTTACTGCCTCTGAAAACCCAGTGGTGAGTCAGCTGAGTCAGTCCTGATTCAACAGTATGTAACAGTAGATGCCAAAGCATGAGAATAGCTAAATAGTGTCAAAGGGATTTTATGGGATATTATACAGTCATTAAAAATTCTGGCTGTGCTGTTGTAGAATGGGACTGTCCTTGGGGTTGGGGAGAGACTGAGTAAGATGGGTTCAATAATGTATACTGCACTGAAACAG